TATGATTTATTTTAGTTTAGCCTTATGATCAAATTAGCTACCTTAAAAACAGAATGGAGAACAAATTCGATGAGAAACTTCACATACTAGAAGTCAAATAATTTCCAAATTGGTGTTTAGCCAAGGCAAAAAGAAAACATTTATTTACCAATTGCCGAACACTTGAGTCCATAGGGATGAGTTTATCATCTATCATTTAATATGATCACAAAAAATTTCCTACACACACAACATTTTGTGAGGCCCGCAGCAAAAAATAAAAAACTTCGGCGCGCAAAACGAATTTCTATAACATAACACAAATAAGAGTTATGTTGTAGGAAAAGTGAATGTGTAATGTTATTGAGATTCGTTTTGCGTGCCATAGTTTTTCTTTTTCTTTTTTCTTCGAAGAGTGTGGGCCCCACAAAATATTGTGTGTGTAGGAAACTTTGTTATGTCATGTTAAATAACAAATGCAAATTTTTTCCTTCAAAGCAGATTTTTATGCTGCAGTACAGTCTCTTTCCATATAATTCTGTTCCATACTGTATCACTATTAACACAAGATATAACACAAGATATAGTTTTATCTTGTGTTAATAATCACCAACTACGAAGAATTCAACGATTGTCGGTATCGTGTGAGTGAAGGATTTGTAGAACAAAAGTTCAAGGTTGAAAATTGAAACTAAGATATACTTGGTTCTCATACTGAGCCAGCCATCCAAACAAGCGTCAAATAATGAAAAAGGAGAAGCCAAAAAGGGGAAATAAGAGAAATTGATTTATAGCTGTGAAGTTGTGAACCAAAGTTCTTTTTTCCTGCTCATATGGAAAGTGTTGCAATCGAATCTTTGGGAGATTCAGACGGTGGGGCATTTTCATAATGAAAAGGTGCTTATCAACCCAACAACTTCTAGTTGTTGATGTACAGTCCACGTGGTACTTGGCTTTCTATTTCTAACAGTCAAAATTTGGTATCACGGAGAAAAATAAACCCCAATCACCTAATACCAAAAAGAGTCAACAGTTTTAATTAAGACAAAATGGTAAGCGAATATTTCTTCCCAATTCACCATTATTCGAGGAGAAAATCTAGACTTTTGAGTTTTGAGAAAGCGTAAAGGAAAGAATTGACAATGGTCTTGGAGTTCTGCCAAGCCCACGTTTGCCCCTTTCACAACCAACGTGTTGATGCAATAGCGAGGTTAATAGTATTTACTAATTTCCTGTACCCACCCCCCCAAAAAAAAAAGTATTTACTAATTAGTAATGGGTCCATTACACCTTTAAAAAGTTAAGATAGAACAGAATTTTTTTCTAATTACTACTGTTCTAGACCGGCCACTATGTCCAAAACTCTGGACCGGACATTAGGTCCAATACTGGTGTTGATCTGCACTCTTAAAAGTATCACCTATCTCTCCTCGTCTTATATGATTCCCTACTCTCATACACATGAGCATCACACATAGGTGAAGCTCGCTCCATAACGGGGTTCGCACTGTAAAAATGGTTAGACTCAAGAATGACTCACACTTGGAAATCTTTTTTCCCGAATAAATATCTGTTTTCACTGTTGAAGAGCCACATCCTACGCATTACTCACTGTTGTTCTACTGAATATCAGCCGCAAAGCCACCCTGCCAGTTACCTCAAGTAATTTTTAGAATCTTTTATTTTTAGTATTTTTTTCTTTATAAGCGTAAGTTGAGTCAAACAATTTTTTTTTTTTTTTTGGTGAGGGAGTCAAACAATTTTTTATTAAAGCTCTTATATAAAAAGAGCTATTTTTAGTACCTATTGAAATCTTCTCTTTTTTGAGTTAGAAATTATTTTTAGTGCTTGTTTGGATTCTCTTATTATAACGAAGAAAATAGACAAAAACTAAAAAAAATTTAGAGGAATTTTTTTTAAGCTCTAATCATCAGTTTTTTTTGAAACGATGTTTGTGTTACTAAACTTTTTATGTAATCACTAAACAGTTCTTAACTTTTTTGAGCTCTTTTTTAGCTTTAATTTAAAAGTAGTTTAAAAAAAAAAAAAGTTAGATCAATTAAGCATATCTGTTAAAAGAAACATCCAACGAAAAATCGTCCAATCTTCTTTTCTAAAAATCAAGAACCTGTTCTATTTCTTGATCACCTTATCATTCTTTCTATCGTTACTAAAAAATTATAACTTTCTGCTAAACCATGTTTGGGAATTCGATGTTGAATTTGATCCTAAGGTTACCCCTCTTTGAAGGATCTTTGGAAATTGGCATACCTTCCCCGGAAATCACTTCTTCATAGTTTGGATCAATCACATTGTTTACGACAATTGTCAGACCCCTGCCATCTAGTGTTGTAAGTTGGATGGTGGAGCCTGTTAAGAGCTTCAGCTTCTGCAAGTGATACCTTGTGTGTCACAACCACATCATTACCATCTCTTGTAAATATACTGTGAGGCTTCGGATATCTGTTTGAATTTAGTCTCGGCGTCTTTGTTATTGTTAGGGTTCTTATCATTTTTTGTGGGAGAAATTAATTATCATTGCTCAAAAATCGATATAACCAACAAAGCATCTGTTGGAAAATGGGATTTTAGATGCTCCACCGAACGATAGAAAGAATGATAAGCTGATCAAGAAATAGAACAGTTCTTCATTTTTAGAAAAGAAGATTAGACGATTTTCGGTCATCACGTGAGATAGTTAACAGAGTTGGATGTTTCTTTTAACAGATATGCTTAATTGATCTAATGATATAGTTTGAGGGAGTTAATTATTTCAATTAAAAGTAGGGGGTTTTCTGAATAGGGGTATAAGGTGGTAAATTGTAATTTAGCCAAAAAAGAGAGAGAGGATCCAACAGGCTATTAGTGTACGTCTTATGCCTACACAATAGCTCTATTGTTGAAATTTAATCTATACTACTATCTTATCCTATGATGCACTGATACGGGACACGCGACACGACAAACACGCCGACATGACAAATACGCCGACATGTAAATTCTAAAAAATGTCATATTCCAATATGTTGGGACACGTTTTGATATTAAATAATATTTTTAATATATATAATATAATTTATATTTAATACATATAACAGCACATAATAAGTCATATAACCAATCAAATATTCAAATTTTATAACATAAATATAAACAAAAATAGTTTTTCATACTTTCTTAATTTTTCATGTAAATTTCATAACAAAAAAAATTGATTTATAAATTATTATTTTTATTTTTAGTTAATAAAATAAAATTAAGAAGTAAAAAAAAAAACGTGTCGGATGCATGTCGGAACGTTGACCGCGTGTCAAAAAAAGTTGACTGCGTGTCAGAAAAAAGTGTCAGAGCGTTAACCGTGTGTCCCAAAATATTGACCACATGTTGGACACGTGTCCGATACGCACATCTGTTAAAAGTGTCCAAAACACCCCCAGTTATTATTCAACCACCATCATAGTAGATCCCATTTGTGGTCATACATCTTATAAATCAAATTATTATTTTGATTTATTTCTTCATGTGAAGGTGAATAAAAATATCAGGGAATTTTGGAACAGAGTCATTGTACCAATTGCGAGATATAATTACGAGATGTTAATGCAGATGTAAGTTTCAATTCCTGGGTGCCGTAAAGATCAAGGAAGTTAGGAAAAAGTTATTAACAAATGTATTTTTGTTGCTGTAACGTGAAATAGAAGGAAAGTCACATTGGGTTGAAAACTCAAGAGATTAGCTCGCATTGAAAGTTGAGCAACAGAATCACCGCTGGCCAGTTCATTAGTTTTGCTCTGTAGATTGGTCAACCAAATTCCTAATTGATGTTGAGGTCCTCGGACAAGAGACAAGTATGCTCAAAACCCTCTCGCATGCAGGCCTCTCACTGGCCAAACTAAGCTAGAAATCAGGAAATTACACATGCACCAGTCACACTACGAAAGTACGAGAGTTTCTATATCTCATTTATCAAAGCATATCATTTTCATTCTTTGTCGTACCTTCCAACTTGTTCAAACCCCGAAAAACACTACTGTCATGCTTTTTCCCCTTTGTCCAATGTAATTCCTCCCTCCTGAAAGTGCAAACTTAATTGCCCTCTCCTTTTCTTCCCATACAGACTATAAAATGTATTCTCCAAAAGTTTCAAAGTTACCAACTAACAAGCTAGCTAGCATGCACCATTATTAGTTCTGATCCTCTGCTCTGTGGAATTACGGGATGAATAGAGAATTTAAGTCTTTCTGTTTGGGTGCTCTTCTTTTACTTTTATGCATTAATGTTCAGTTGCTTTCTGGGATTGAGGCTCGGCCACTCCAGATTATAAATCCAAATGACTCAGTTGCAAGGACGTCTCTGTGGTCAATGAATCATTCCGGGCCAAGTCCTGGTGGCAAAGGTCATAAATCCATTTCCACGACTGAGGATGCCCGAATTCTACTACAGCTCACGGACTCCGGTCCAAGCCCCGGCATAGGACATTAATTAATTAGCTCCGAATATCTGTTTATGCCTCTGGGGATGATATTAGATTTTGACATGTAATAATGTAACTGAGATACTTGTATTTTATGTTATTTTCTTTCTTTATCCAATTCTCATTTTCATGTCACCAACAAAATCTCGACAAAGCCAATTAATGCCCGATATTCTAATAATGTATGACGAGATTTTTTATTTTATTTTTTCCTCACTAAAATTTGACAGTGTCACGATAACGAATGTGATATCATACATTAGATTGAAAGTTTGTTCTGCGCTTTTACTAAAAAAGAGCCTCATACAGACACATAACTATAATTGCTGCTTGATGTGAATGGCGAGAGTACAAAAGTAGAAAGAAAGACTTTACAACACGGACGGACAAATTGTTTTTCTTGTGAAAAATCTTGCTTTGCAATTCATACCATTTGGATTGGGCCCATCTCAGGGTCATGTTTTGGGCCATGAAATTGAAAGCCCTTCTCATTCGACAACTTCACTTCACCTTGTTCTTGTTTGTTATCTTATCTCTCCTCATCGTTACATGGCGGCGGAACCCATCGTCCTCCGTCTCCGAGCGTTGAGTCGTCACTTCTCCGTGACAAGGCATGAAGCCAAATGTCTCACTCTGCCTCCCTTCACAGCCACAGCCACAGCCACTCTCAACGCCTCCGCCCTGGGGAAACAACTGTCCCCCACTCCCACCACCGCGCTCAAATGGGTTATTCGGTGCTGCCCCGACTTACCCAGAACCCTTGTGCACAAGCTTTTTCGTCTTAGACAGGTTCGAATAGTCTCTGCTGCCAATGGCATACAAGAACAAGACCATAGATACAAAAGGGTAACCAACTATTAAATCAAATCAAATCAAATCATCAATTTTACGTACCATTCCTTTTCTTTTGCTATGATAAGTACAAACTCAAGCTGTTCAGGTGGCAGCTAAGGATACCTTGAACTCAGGAGATCGGATCTTTCTTCCTCAGTCTGTCAAAGAAATCCCTAGACAGAAACCTGACTGTCATGTCACTGCCAAAGAAATCAACTTTATCCGTAGTCTTGTTATCTATAAGGTTTTCAATTTTAATTCTTTGTTTTTTCGCTATCTCAAGCCATCTTGCTTGAATTTTTAATACGATCTGCTTATCAAAACTAGGATCCTACCATTCTTGTCCTGAATAAACCTTCAGGAATGCCAGTTCAGGTAACTATCTGAGGCTCCCCATTGATTTTTTATTATTATTTGGCGGCGGGGTTGGGTTTATATTGATCTTCAGCGATTAATTCTGACATGTGGATTGTATCTTTCTTTAAATAGGGTGGCATTAATATCAAACGGAGTTTAGATGTAATAGCTGCCGCATGTTTAAATTATGAATACTCAGAACCCCCTCGTCTGGTAAGCTCATTTTTGAGTTTGTGATTCAATTATCTTCTCAATGTCTTTTTTATGGTTCAGTTTGTTAAGTTATGTCTTCTCTCGTACGAAGCTATGTACTGATGCAATTAACTTTTTTTCCTTCCTGAAGCTGTTACTAGTGATAAGCTTCCTTCAGTTGCTCTGATTCAATAAAAAATGATGATGATAAAATGAAACTAAAGTCGAATAGAGTATTTGGTGAAGGAGAACTGCATTTCATCACAGGAAAATCACATTTACTCAAATTATTGTACTTTTTCGTTAATGATTTGAACATCACAATCCACCACTAGCTGTTTGTGTCCAGAGAGGAAGGGGAGCTCATCATATCGTGTACTCAACTTGCTCAAGTTTTGCATTGGCTGTGTAATAATGACAATAATATAAGAACCCACGATGAAACTTTTTTCCTCTATGAAGCAATATATTGTTTCATGCGTCAGGGTTTAATTACAAAGGTTTCACTTTTACGACTTTTTAGAGGTATCACTTCTAAAGGAGTTCCTTGCAATTTGAAACAATGCATTAAATGAAAAGGGAAGAATGAGTTCTTTTTTCTTTTCTTTTCTCATGTGTTCTCCATTTTCATTAGACAACACTTTTATTGTTACTCAAGACAGTTGCCATGATTTTGGAAAGTGGTATCGTTGTAAAAAAGAATGGTAGAAGTTAATTATTTATTATTTTTGTCATAGGTCGTTGCATCTGTTATCATCATTACAAAGCTTGAACATCCACGAAATTTGTGGGATTGTTTGCCTTGTGTTTTAGTTCTGTGCCAATATTATTGATGGTTGCTTGGATATATGAAGTATGAACTAGATATTAGATTGATACTTGAACAAGATTGTATATATTAAGGTACATAGACTAGACAGAGACTGCTCTGGCATTCTGGTGATGGGAAGGACACAGACAAGTGCTGCAGTTTTGCATTCCATCTTCCGGGAGAAAACTTCCAGGGCGTCAGATGATGTGAGTGATAATTGTACTTTTTCATCAAATGCTTCATGCTGGCTGACCTGGATGATATAACCTCCAGAGCATTGGTCTATTATGGTCACAATCTCAAGTTGCTATATCTGTTTCATTTTTTTCTGACCTTGTTCCATTTGATCCTTAAATAGATTGACACAGAAAAGAGAATCCTACAAAGAAGGTACTGGGCACTTGTCATTGGATGTCCTAGACGTTCAAAGGGGTTGGTTACTGCTTCATTGGGTAAGGTTGTATCCATATTGGCACTTCATATGTACAGTAGAAAGCTCGTTATGTATTGTAAAAGATTGTTGTAATCCTTTTTTTGGTTTCAGGTGGTTGTTGACAATGGGAAATCTGATCGAATAACTATCGTTGACAATTCTAAATTTTTGTCATCACAACATGCAATTACAGAGTACCGAGTGATTGGATCATCATCACATGGTTTGTAATGAAGCTTACTTTGAATTCTAAGATTAAAGTTACCTTTAGAAGTTGGCATGAAGGATCACAACAGTAAGTGGGTGGTTAAATTGTATTATATCACAAGACAACCCTGGTATCAGCAAATATCCTTTGAGAGTGTTAAAAATGAATTTCATCTAGTGTTTTTCCTTTTTGCATTGGCGTGTGACATTTTGAACTCATCAGGACCTTAGTTTCAACCACTCACAGTCACCCTTATTGTTAATGAGACGGTGTCATTAAATGTCATTTGTGATATATAAGAAGCAATAATTAACATGATTCCGTATTTAAAATTTCAAAAATGCATGTTTCCAGAATAGGTTAGTTTACAAAGTGTTTTATTAAATAATTTAGTTCAACATTTTCACATGATACTGGAAAAGCAGAGAGACAGAGAAGATCTGAGCAACATATCAAGCAGGACTTTGATTTAATTTCGTAATTGGGAAATATAATTTTACAGTCTGCCAAAAAGCATAAGTAATTGTATCGGCTGAACGAGGCCTTTAGATGGGTTTTTTTAACAACAGGCCTTCTTTGCCAATTCTTGAGCCTAAAATATATAGAAAATTTGTGATGCGTCTTTTTATCTCTTTTTCCTTTGTTATCATGAGTTTTCCTGCAGAAATTATCTCCTCTGGTTGTCTGGGCAACACCTACTTACGCCACCGTGATTAATGCAGGTTACACTTGGTTGGAGCTGTCCCCTTTAACTGGTAGAAAACACCAGGTAATGAAAGCAAGGGAAGAATCATAACCAGCTGATCTTGGTGTCAAAAGACTCACAACTTAAAATATTTAATCAATCCATATGATTTACCATGATTTCTATTCTGATTGTGTGCTGGTGCCACAGCTTCGAGTCCACTGTGCTGAGGTGTTAGGTACACCAATAGTTGGGGACTACAAGTATGGATGGCAAGCTCACAGGAAGTTGGGACATTTTGATTTGTCTAATCTGGAGGACTCAAGCGAAGAGCTTCTCAAGGAAGAAAAACTACCATTTGACCTTAATTTGAACAAGGGGAGCATATCTGAGAAGTGTCCTCGTTTACATCTTCATTGCAAGCAAATAGTCTTGCCCAATGTATCTCAAGCGTTGCAAAATGTGCAATCAGCTTCCAATTATGATTTTTCACAAATGGAAGGACTTGAGTTGGTCGCGGCCTTGCCTCCATACATGCAAAGAAGTTGGGATGTCACGAATTCTTGAGTTATGGTTAAAATGTTACTGTGTTTCTAATTCACTTGATTCCATCAAGGTAATTTCTACCGTTTGAGATGTTCTACTTTCCATTGGATTAACACAAGTCACCAGCTACACATAAGTTGAGATCTTGTGCTCTCGCGGTAGTATTTCGTGCCAGACTGCAAGAACTCAATTGACAATTTTCCTCACGCATTAAGCATTGACTGGAAACAATTTTGGGTGCTCACTCAATGCGAAACGCGACCATTGATTGGAATTAAGATCAGTAGATTCACAGGGATTTATAACCGGTGAAATTGTCTACAAATGACAATCATCAGCGCCAATTCCTGAATAAAATTGAAATGATAGTTACAATTGGTTGCTATAGTCCACGTTATTATAGTTGATAATACCCATTTAAGTTTGTTGTATGCATGTCCACATTAAATCCAATTATGTTGAGTAGCTTATTCAAATTTAAAAAGTTTCCTTGATAACCAAATTTTAGTTTCTGCCAAGTGTCCGTCTGATTTAGATGATTTTATCCTTAATAAACCACAAGACATCTTGTATCTATCTTATTCCCAATTTCATTTTATTTTTTCGGTAGACCTCAAACTTGACTATGGAGTATTAATGACTTGAAATACGAAGATCATTCGGTGACACTTTACGTGTTATTATCATGAGTTGAGGGGGCGTGCGTGCATTTGATATTTGCTTATGAATCCAAATACGATCAGTTAATTAACTTCTAGCACCGGCAACCGAAACTTATGAAGCGATATAAATTGCAATGGTTTACCATTGTCGTCATCCCTGAATTGCAATTATGCCATTGCCAGGAGCCAGAGCCCAGAGGTTACCTAACACGCGGAGTAAAAAAAAATTGACGAAATTGTCAAAGCTAATTAAATTAGCTACCGCTACATTTTATTCAAATATCAGTAATCCTTTTATAATAGTATAGATATAAATTCATAATTAACAACATTGTTAGTATACAGAATAGAGAATAAAGCTATGCAAATACCGTAGAAATCCCTTTAATATTCTTTTTATTTGTTTTTAATAATTTCTGGTAACTTATCATATCCATTACCTATCATATAGGACAGATCAAAATCAGGGTGATACGATTAAAGGGGGTTCAAATGTTTGGGGTTGGAATAGGACAGTAAATACTGCTGCATAATTTACATTTTATAAACAATTTTAAATATATTTTTTACATTTTTACTATAAACTCCTTTTACGAGAAAAAAGAAGTGACAAAAAAAAAACCAGGTAAGGGTCCTAGCCTCCTCGGTACTCAAGTAATTTTATTTTGTGTTTTAATTTTTAAAGATAAAAACCATGCTTTAGATCTTTTACCCGGTTGAATGGTTGGTTTCCCGTTTCACACTCCCCTAAATACACAAAAAGTGAAGGTGAGTTCCACATTTATTTTTTTTCTCTCTTCTTACATGTGAATCTCACTTGTAATTTTATTTCTACAATATAAGATAATCATTTTCCTACGACATAAGATAAATATAACCTATAGAAATAATAGATAAAGAAGTCATGTGAAATGTTGTATTTCTAGAACTAAAAATGTATCACTTGATTTAGGATACTCAAAGTAGAGGTCTCGTTGCATGAAAATTGAATTTTTATATTGTGACTCAACTAGTGATGGATTCTACATTTCTTAAAAAGAAAAAAAGATGTACGCAAATCAAAGTATTACAATATGAGAATTGAATTCTAATGCGACATGAGAAAATATTTTCTCCTCAAAGTAACAATGATAAAAACCAAGACTCAATGTGAGTCTGCCAAGTGTTTGGCGAAGATAAAAAGGGGTGTGTGTTTCGGCTATAGTGACTTTAGGATTTGGCAGGGTAAGAGTTGAAAACAAGTGAGATCAAATGTCTCTTCTTAATTTAAATTAATATCTTATTATAATATATTTATATTTATATCAATGCAATATATTAATATACGTATTACAAAAATATAGATTGAATTTAAATTTACAAAACTAACTTTATTACAAAAAGTTTTTCCTAAGAAAAATATGTTTAAATTTTTTTTTAAAAATTTATAAAATTTAATTTTTGTTTTTTTATAAGATAAAACATATATTTTTTTTAAAAAAAAAAGTTTGTGATTTCTCCGTTAACTTGAGATGAAGTTATCATCCTAAAACTACTTATTTTTTCTATAAATTAAAGATAACTTTATATTTTTAATTTGTAGAAAAAACATTAAACACTTATCTTTTAAAATCTGAAAAAATTGGGTCAGAGGCGCCACCAATTGGAGCGAGAGATCTTCACATTGCATTTTATTTAAAATAAAGAATAAAAATCAGAAACACGCCCAACACAACAGTACAACAACAGAAAAGTGAAGGTGAAGGAGTGAGAGGTAGAGATGATGGAATGCTCAATGGGCGTTGATGCGAAATTTGCATCGTTGTTTGAGAATTTGAAGGTAGAGGATCCATGGGTTCCCCCAAACACATGGGAATCGATACCTTGTGAAAGTGGAGTACACCCTTCGTTTCCCTCGTGTTCAAAATCTAATCAACCCCTCTCCGTTCTCTCTGTAAGTTCCACTCCAATCCAAACCTTGTATTCTGATTTCTGATAATATTTGCAATGTTAACTTTTTCAACACGTGATGGACTTCCCTTTCTAACTTCAGTAGTGCAATGCATTTTACCAACTTCATAAACCTAAACATTTTCAAATTAGTTGCTTTACTACTTTGGCAAGCTCTGCTTTTTTGTATGACTACGTAACTAGGAATTATGATTCGTGTTACTTTGAACAGACGTGTTTGATTACTGGCTCTGTGTTTATTTTGATAATTCGAAATTTTGGCCTCAGGAATCAAGTTTGGTGAGGTTAGTCATGAATGCTATGCAAGGTGTAAAATCATCCCTTATTAGTATTCAGAAGCTGTCTTCCATCTTTTGTTATGATCCAGCTGACAGGACCTCTCACCAGATTCCAAATCTGTGGAATCGAGCTTCGAGCACTCATTCTTTGGGAAATATACTCAAATCTATGGGTTGCACCGGGTCTCTAGTTTTCCTTCTCCGTGAATTTGTAGATTATTTCACAAATATGAATGTGGACAACAGTTTTGCAAAGAGTCATGGTAATTCTGACGCTGACAAAAGTCAAATTCATCAAGAGGATAGAGTGAGGGAGGAAGAGTCCCCTCGCTATAGTCTTGTTAATCAAGCCTTTGCTGTTGCGGTGGGAAAGATCTTGGAAGGGTACATGTGTGGATTGGACACAATTCATGCATCTGTAGTTTTAAGGCGTTCATCAAAAGATGCTAATTTGCCCGTGTCCGGATGTTTGAATAATGTAGTGCATTCTGAAATTACACTGCTTGAGTTTTACCTGCATACAAAAGAACTAAGGACTCAGATTGAAGCCCTTGCAAGCATATGTAACCTACAAAAGTGGGCTCTTTACTTTTCAGATACTTTTTTTGAGGATCTGATTACTGAAGCTACTAATGAATTTTGTAACTTCTGCAGAGGGGGGGAATTATTAACTTTTTTGTATGCACAATTACAGGTCAGCTTATTTGAATCTGAACCTATCTCTTTTGTTCTCTATCTTTTTATTCTTTGAATGCCTTTCTAAATAACTTATAATAGTTACAAGTTATAAAATTGTTAGTTATCTTACTTGTCTTACTGACTGGCAGGCATTAGAAGCCTTGTCAAGCTAGCATATATCTGTGGGTGGACATATGAATAGAAAAACCTCATAAAAAGCTTTTTTTCCTGACGATCACAGAAATAACCAAATAAATTCCTCTTTTCTGGGCTTATCCTCAATGCTGACTATTACCGTATGTTATTACAACAACTACAACCTTTTACCACTAGGTGGGGTACATGAGTCAAATGATACCATCATGTTCTGTCAAAAACCAAGTTTTCTAATAGACCATTTATATCAACGTCCTTTTTAATAACTTCTTTTGGGGCCTGTTTGGAGCACCTGACAAAGAAGATAGGATAGGATAACTTATCATATCCTACTTTTATCTCTTGTTTGGTGGGTCAATAGGATATGATTAGCTTATCCTATTGTCTCATTTTATCCTATCCAATACATGATTTCTTATCCTATGGGGGGAGCTGTATTAGGATTCTAACAGGATAAGATACCAATATTGAATACCCAATATATCTTCATGCTACCCAATATATTCCCACGCTACCCAATATATTTGTATTTATTGCATTATATTTTGTTTTTTCTTTCTCCTTTCTCCTTCTACATAATCTTATCAGATTGCTAATCAGGTACTCATCATACACAGGACATGATATAAGCTTATCAGCCCCATATCATATCCTACCCTTATCCTATCCTGTCCACCAAACGAGCCCTTAGGGTTTTCCTTGGTCGTCCTCTACCTCAGTTTATCAGGCAATCTTCAATATGATCAAATCTTCTTATTGGGGCCTCTATTTGTCTTCTTCTCACATGAACAAACCATTTCATGCTAGATTCCATAATCTTTTCCTCAATATGTTTATGTAATTATATGTCTCTCTCTCTGTATATAGTATCTTCTTCTTTGGCATATCCACTATCAGAAATAATCAAGACTGGCTCTTTTATACCTCTTTTAGATACCAAACTATCATACTCATCTTTTTCATGATTTCTTTTTAACTTTCTTAATTATCATTCTTCAACATTTCGGTTTAGTGGATCACTTAATTTTATTAATTTATATTATTATTATTATTATTGAAGAGGACGAGCCTAGAGTAGTGGTAAAGTTGCTTTTTTGTGACCGAATCTAGGAACAGTCCCTTTGAAAAAATACAAGTATAAAACTGATTTCCTTACCGCCACCCTCACAAGTCAGGGTTTCATGTGGAGCTCTATTATTTTCTTAATAATTTTATTATTAATTTTGTTATATTAATAGAAAGACTCAAATGTGGCACGTAAGGGGAGTGGCCCATAGATCAGCACTTATTCTTCTTCTTTTCTCTTATTCACACTCAATCCTAAACTTATATTACCGTCTCAATTTAAGATGTCATTCAAATTGTAGGATTGTGCATAACTCAATAACTCTGGAGTTTTTCCCATTGTTGTCATAGAAATAGCAAATTTTCTACATATGAAGTTGGAAGTGACTCATGATTTAGAATTACCTCACTAAAATGGAATCTGATGAGAAATATGGTTACAAACTGATTTTAAATTTTAATTGGTAATAATTTTTTATTTTATTCAAGCAGCAAGGTTCAAAAGGTGTTAGTTTAAAGAACAATAGATATCACTAGTTGGGTAAATTTGATATTGGGGTGTAATGTAACATGAACCATGCTAGATCATAATTGTTAAGAGTTGTTATGTAATATAACAAATTGACCCGAGATGAAAGTTAATGTCAAGAACCAATTCAACCCAAAAGCTTAAGCTTTTGGGTGAGGCTACATCAATGGTTTTATATATCTCAACACGCTCCCTCACACGAGAGTCCTTTGGGCTTGAAGAGTGGACAATACACAGGCCCACCTACCTGTGCGAAGAAAAAAATTCCACTAGAAAGAAAGTGAGGGGTGGTGAGGATCAAACCCGGTGCACCGAGGCTCTGATACTGTAAAGAACCAATTCAACCCAAAAGCTTAAGCTGATGGGTGAGGGCTTTTTAATGGTTTTATATATCTCAACACGCCCCCTCATAAGAGAGCCCGTTGGGCTTGAAGTTTGGACAATGCACAGGCCCACCTACCTGTGCTCAGAAAGAAATTCCACTAGAAAGAAAGTGGGGGGCGATGAGGATCGAACCCGGGACACGAAGTTCTGATACCATGTAAAGAACCAATTCAGCCCAAAAGCTTAAGCTGATGGGTGAGGGCTTTTTAATGGTTTTATATATCACAACAAATACCATGTAAAGAACCAATTCAACCCAAATGCTTAAGCTTTTGGGTGAGGCTACATCAATGGTTTTATATATCTCAACAGTTAAACCAAACTAGTTGGATCATTTGTTCTTAAGCATCTTCCCTTTTATCTTTGGTGTTGTCTGCACCATTATATTTTTGGAGTTCGGCTTCTGGTCTTTTTTTTACTATCAGTAATTGATTACAAATGGCTTATCTCGGGTGGCAATAAATTGTTGCCTGGAAGAGTTGTAGCATCAAGTGAGATTGTAACAGATATTATTTTGAAATGGAGAGGAGATAGGCTTGTGGATCTTATAATCAATGTTATTAAATTCGGACCGGTCATCGACTCGATCAAGCAACTGGGTTAATGAGTTACTAACCGGTGGGTCGCTAGTTGAACTGGATATATATAAAAGTTTATAATAATTATAAAAATAGCCATATTACAACTAAGAATATGTTGTAGCTTAATGGTTGGTGATGGAACTATACAAGTGAAGGGGTCAGGTTTGACACCTAGCGCCTGCAATCCTATAATATTTTGCACCATTTATTCAAAAACCGCTTTAACTCAAAACCCGGTTCCGGTTTGACACCAGCTTGATTTCGGTTCGCAAGCAGATCTGATCCATTAGTGAGACTAATCTCGCCAATGTTCCGGTTTCCTATTCAACCGGTCAGACCGGCCGGTCCGGTCCGGTCCTGTTTTAACGACACTGCTTACAATTGTCACTCATATTTTCTTTCGGAATGCTTCCTTTTCAAATTAAGAAAACTTTTTTTTTTTTTTTGGGGGGGGGGGGGGGGGGGGGGGGGTGTCTTCCCTCCGGGATATTTTACATACTTGTTGCAACACAACAATTGCATTATATCCATTCTTTTGTAAACACAAGATATTGTCTCTTTACAATTTACATGCTTTTTCCTTTTTGAAATTTCTTCTAATCTATAAACTTTGTCAAATTTAGGTTGCTGATCCTGCTCAGTGTACTCTGCTCAAGTTTCTCTTTCTTCAATCATTTGAACCATATTGCGGGTTCATTAGATCGTGGATTTTCAAAGCAGAAATCCATGACCCATATATGGAGTTTATTGTAGAAAATCTGGAGTGTTTACCTCCAAAGTCACATGGTAAAGCTGGCAATTCTGTTGATTTCCCATTGGCAAGGATCAGGGTAATTCTTTCCTTTGTTGACCTGCAGGCAGTTTTCATGTGTATCCTACCTTTGTATTTTCTTGTTATATTGATTCTCATGATGGAGACTTCCTAACAGCAGGTGCGAGATGGAGTACCAGTTCCTGAATTTCTCAAACACTTCTTGGTTCCACTTGTTAGAGCTGGTCAGCAGCTTCAAGTACTGCTGAAATTGCTTGAACTGTGCATTCATGTTGATGTTGGAGAACATAATTCTAATGACTTTCTACCTTGCTGGAGTGGTTTTTCAAGCAATAGTCCTTATTCTTCTCCATTGACTTTCAGCAAAGATATTATAGAAGCTATGGTGCTTGCAAGAGAAATTTACTATACAAGGATGAATGAAAAAATTGAAAGCCTTTTGAGCAGCTTAGAAGTTAGATATCAGCAGGTAATCATACCCCATAGTTTTGGTTCCTTGTACACGTGCACTTTTTACTTCTATCTACTTTTGGTTATTTTGTAATAACAAAATACTTTATTTTTTGGTGAGAGAAAAGAAAGCGGTTACTAGGCCAGCAATTTAAGATATTCTCTTACAATCACCAATGAAAAACCAAGAATGCAAGAAGAAATACAGAATAGGCCTCCAGTTTCTTCAAAGGAAACCCTCTTCAAATTTTGGTTGAACGCTATTGTGAATACATTATCTGAAAATTGAGGTGCCAAAAGATGCCATTGCATAGGCCATTATCTATTTATTTATTTATTATTATATTACTATTTTTTTTTTTATATTTTTTGTGGGGGGGAGGGGAGGGTGTTCAGTTGTTAATGATTTCTGGATTCATGCTTTGGTTTTGTAGTAACAAGCTAAAAGCATTTTTTATTTTGGGTGCAACAATTTTATTTGGAGTAAACTTGTCTCATCATAATCTCATTCCCATCAATGATCTTCTTTTATCTTTGTTTTGAATAAGTTTTTGGAAGGGCCGCTAACGGAAAAAAGGGGCATAGGAAGTATTATAGGGTCCGCTAGGGACAAAGAAGAGATAGAGACCAGAAAGAAGACTACTTTTCCCATTGTGAGCAGGTGCTTATTTCTTTCTTTTCTTTTTTCATTCTTATGCATGAAGTTTTTCCTTTTGCAGGTAGCTATGCATGCCTCAGTTCCTTCTTTTGATAATGGAGGGACTTTAGACAAACTTGGTCAGCTTATATCGGAAGACGTATCCATTGTTCATCCAACGGCAGATAATAGAAGTTCGAATATGTAATTTCTTACTCTTCCCCCCTTGCGGAAACATGTGACCATGAAGATGCATGCACTGAGTAACATGTTCCCTCTCATTTGCTGCTGGGCATCTTAGTTTTTTTGTCCTCGTAACTTTATTTCCCTTTGTTATTGCTTCATTGATGTTTTATAGAAATTCTCAGGGGTATTGATAATTTGGGCTCGGATGTCTCAAGTGCGGTAGATGAGTTCTCCTTGCTGGAAGATATGTATGATTCATCTGAAACTTTGTCCTTAAACAGCTCTGACGAACAACTGGAGTCTGATCAGCTTAGTGGCTGGCCTTGTCCAATAGTTGGGCAACAAAATCATTTATCTGCTTTAAGCTTCTTGAAGAGTACTACTTTAAATAGTTCAATACAAAGTTCCTGTCATAATGAAAAGCCAGGTGGTGATTCACATGGAATCTGTGATAAAATGGATGCAATCAGTCATTTGGTGAAGTTCTCCCATGAGGGAATGATATCAAGTCACATGTCTAATCCTCTAAATTCAGGGAATTCAAGCTGCTCGTGTATATTCAGTATTCAAAATAGAGAGAGTTTGGTTGACAGTTATTCAGCAATTAGCCAGTTATTGAAAAAATCATTTGATGGTGATGGAACTATTAAGCAAAATGCAACTGAAAAGCACCTGGGATCCCTGAGAAATTCCATGTTATGCCATGATGTTATTGCTGTTAGTGATATTTTAAGTGGGGAAGCCACGAATGAGGATCAACCTGGTAGTAATGCTCTTGTTTCAAATTTTTATGCTTCTCAACCACAAAAAATTGGCCATCGGTGTAATTTTCCCAGCATCAATCCCCTTAGTATGAACCCAATGTTGACAAGAAATGCGTTGCTTCACGTGATGGGTAGGAATGGGGAAAAATGTAAAGCAGATCATGAACAAACTTTGCCTTACTTCAACTTTTCTTCTGTAGAGGACCCTTGTAAGGTTTATATTGACAAGTTATCCACCAACTTCAGATGTAGACCCACATCTTCATTTCCACTGGATTGTAGTGTGTCTACTTATGGTAATAAGAATGATGAATATGGAGAAATAGGCCATGCTAGAGATGATCGATTGGTTGATGTTCCCCAATATTGTTTTGATGCTTCTCTGGACTTGATGGACCGTAAACAAGATATTTTAACAGTTGTATCTGGTGGGAGCAGCTGGGAAAGATTGCTGGGTAGTTTTAGGAAAACTGTCAATTGTGATGCTACTCAAAAGCAGAGTTTGTTGTCAACATTTGAGATACCACTTGAAATTATAATTGACAAGTGCTTACTGCAGGAAATCATGCTTCAGTATCCTTATCTTTATGTTTATTCTGTTAAACTGATTGGTTAGGTTATGCATGGTGTTTTGTATTTCATTCCTCTATTGCTTCTGTTTGTTTGTGATACTTAGATTAAACTAGTACAAATTTATCATGAATATCCTATTCATTTTAATGAATTCTTAATCTGGTCCTTCTAATCTTGTACATATATCTGACTATTTGTCAGTTTTATCATTTTCTGTAAATGGGTAAACGCAGCCTAGGTCAGCATCTTTACTGATGAAGTTGAAATGTGCCAAACTACTGGAAGGCAAATGAGTTATAAGGGATTTTGACTGTTTGGTGATGGAACCTGTTGGAATGGGTTGCAGAATTATATGATCAAGAAGCTAAAAACTATGAAGGACATGTAAATGTTACTAATTCATTTGAACATTTTAAAGTATGAGAATGCTTGATAATGGTACTTCAATATTTCTTAAACAATAACAACCAGACCTTATCCCATTAGGTGGGACAAGCTACATGGATCAGTTGATGCCATTTAGTATTTCTGCTCCATAGTAATTAATGTGCTTAAAGTATTATTGTGCCTACCAACAAGTTATGCATTAAACCTGTAGAAAAAGCGATATGCTGAGGTGGATAATGCAAATTTAATGGCCATGTTAAGAGCTTTATGTGTGAAAGTTGATAGTTGAAACGATGTGGAATAAATAGTTTATGTGTAATTGCAGATGGTGATGAGGTTTGGGTACATGATCTGAGCACATCACGAACTAATTTGCAAGTATTTGATGGCAGTCCTTTGTTTTTTATATATAATTTTGTTGGATCCCTTTAATTGACACATGACAACTTACCTGAATTTTATTAGTAATTTCTCAGATGATAGCTTTCAGGATTCTGTCATTTTTCTCTTATTACACAATTGAAATGGGTTGAGATGCTCGATATATTGTTTTTGGAAAGTATTCTGTACTAGTGTTGCTTGTCCTTAAAGATGTCAGATACAATTATGTCAGCAAGCTAACCATCAATGTGCTTGAGGAAGCATTTAAGTTGCAAGAGCATCTCTTGGCACTGCGGCGGTATCATTTTATGGAGACAGCAGATTGGGCAGATTTGTTTATCTTGTCTCTTTGGCATCATGTATTCCTAAATTCTGATTCACAATGACTTGCATAATATTTCCTGGCTACAAGTTCTGACTACAGTCTATAATACTGAGCATTTACTTATTCTTTGGTTTATGTGACATCACAGAAGCGGTCTGTTACAGAAGCAACTGAGAGACTTTCAGAAATTCAAGGTCTACTTGATTTGTCAATTCAGAAGTCTTCTTGTGAACAAGACACCAATAAGGATAGGTTGTTTGTGTACATGAAAGGACATGGGAAATTGCCTCTTTCTGCATCTGCTATTGGTACATCCATATTACTATAGATAGGGGTTTCTCCTAGTTGGTATCCAATTTTCCCCCTTTAAAAGGCAGTATTTTGTTTTCACTACAATGAAAAGAAAGGAGAAGAAATCATCATTTCTGTCAAAGTAGCTACAAAGGCCAACTATACGCCCACGTCCTACTTTTTAAAGAATTTTTTGGTTATTTATATTTTACAGATTTTAAGTCAGTTTCATTTGGTTTTTAAATTTTTTAAAAATTCAAAAAATTGTTAGGCCATTTATATAATTAAATAAAGCTGGATTTTCTGTTTACAATTTTACAAGTGAGTGCCTCTTCTAGAATATTACTATACTCACTTGCATAAATAACAATAATAAATTACTAATAACAATTTTGATTATTTTATTATTATTATTTTTATCATGGTTGTTATTTATACTTTTGTTTCATTTCAAGTTTGATATGCTTCCCCCCTCCCCCTTCTTCTCCTCTCTTTGGGTGTGGCGGAACATGAAATCATGTCTCTGATAATGAATTTGTTAATAATGGCAGGGGTCCGTTCTTTTGATTTCTTAGGACTGGGTTACCGTGTGGATTGGCCACTCAGTATTGTTTTGACACCTGCTGCATTAAAAATATATGCTGATATATTCAGCTTTTTGATACAAGTGAAGCTTGCCATTTTTTCATTGACTGATGTATGGCGCTCACTAAAGGTGTGATTTCTTGCAATTGTTTCCTTTATTCTCTTCCTGTTGTTTAATATTATGCACCAGCATTTATTTATCTTATATCTTCTAAACATATTTTCGTGAATTTCTGTGAAATGAATAATGGCTGGGCTGACACGTTGAAAGTAGAAGTTAGAAATAAGACACACCAAAGATCTACCTTGGATCAATTAATTAATAAAACGAAGTATGATTGGATGATAGGAACACCAATTTTATAACTTTTGAGCATGAGCTTTCAGTAATTTTAACCACTTCTTAGCGCTTCCTTTACTCTGATAAACAACCACTAATCTAAATGTTCTGTCATATTCTGGTTGAATGTGTTCTGATGCAATTAATCTGTTTTCTCTTTCTATTTCTAATCAAATTTATTTATACATAAAAAATAATCTTTGCTTTTTTTTATCAAAAGTTGGGGGCATCACCAAAAGGAATTATTGGTAGAAACATTCCAATTTAGGAACGATTAACCACTTAATTGGTTAATGGTGTCTATTAGAGAAATATAATATTAAAGTGACATTCACCTAATAGCTTGAAATTTAGGGTTGAATTAGTTCTTTACATGATATCGGGCCTCCTTGACCAAATGGTCACGAGTTCAATACTCACTGTCTTTCATACTATTAATAAATAATTAAATATTGTAGAGTTTCTTAGCACAAATAGGTGAATCTGTGTATTGTTTAACCCTCAAGCTCAATGGACTCTTGTGTGAGGGGTATGTTAGGGAAATATAATATAAAACCATTAATGTGGTTTCTAGCTAACAGCTTAAGTTTTTGGATTGAATTGATTAGATTTTGTTCCGTACCTAATTGCTTCAATTTTTTCTTAACTGGCAATATTTTGTTAAGAACTGTACTTTTGTAATCCCCCCGCCCCCCACCACCAAAAAAAAAAAACTATTCTTTTATTGTTCTCTTTTACCTGCAGAGTGCTTTGCATGTTTCTTTTTTAGAGCTTGCAAAAAGAGTCTGCGTTTGCATTCTGAAGCATATAGTCTGATATACTTGCTTCTGTTGCTCGGAGTTGCACTTACATTCTGGATTTTCATGGGAATCTAAGGGCTTTTGATTGTGTAATTGTACAATTTTTTTTCAATTTTGGTGAACAGGATTTGGTGCATACAACCAATAAGGATCTAAATTCTGAACTACACCAGCGTGAGGCAGGGGATCTTAATACTTTGATGAAGATGAGGTACATACTGAAAGTTGTGTTTCTTTTTTGAACGTCTGGGCACATTATGTATATATGATATCATGGGCCTTCCTCGGATCCTGTTCTCATTTTCATGGATAGGAAGGACTTTGGAGGTTTAGACCATGTGTTCTGGGTGGTGACAAACATTGATGACCGTTAATTGGTCCTGGGAATCTTAGAGATACGACACTTTGCAAAAAAAATCCATTACCTGTAAAGGGAAACTTATTGAGCATTAGTTTAACTAGTTACTTGAATAAATTTTAAGTATTTAAGGTAAACTTCTTTTATATGCATCTTTGTAGTTTGTACTTCTAAGCATCCTTTGCTCCACTTTCTTTGGCAGGCACCAGATCAGCCATTTTGTATCCACTTTGCAGCAGTATGTAGAGTCACAATTATCTCATGTGTCATGGTGCAGATTTCTTCATTCCCTTCAACATAAGGTTTGAAGCCAATGCTTCTTATTGGATAGTTATTTATTTAGTTGTTATTATCTGTGCATCTTTTTCTTCAAAGTGGAATTTGTTATGTTTACCGTACTATATGAGTTAAGTGTTTACTTTCAGCGCACAATCATTTGCTCCGTAAGTGCTTATATGTTACAACACAAGTTATTGATTAAATGTGGTTGCTTAGTTCAAATGCGATTTGACTTTTACTTGTTATCTTTCTGGTAACTTCACCACATACATGTGTTGCAAATATTAGAATTAATGTTGTAAATATTAAAATTATTTGTATTAGCTAGAATACTCTAGAAATGTCTTTGGGCTTAGCCCATTAGGTCTTTTAGTCTCTTTAAATAGAGAACTCTTTAAATACAGTTACAATTCAATAATATACAATCCTTTACTTTCAATTTGGTATTAGATCTCTCGATTCTAATGGCTCTGCTTCCGCGACTACCGCCTTTAGAGCGGAACCCTATTTGTTTGCCTCTCACCGCCACCAGCATCTACCAGAATTTTTTTTCGAGAACCTTTTGGACCGAGAAGACTGCTGTTGGACTCTTTTTTCCCAGATCTACTCATTTACAGATGTTTCCCAGTCACAAAACGAACCAAACAACCCCAAAATACCCAAACTGCACCTGATCTCACTGGAAAACACGGTTCCAATGACCTTTTGAGCTCCGATCAGTCACAAATAGCATCGCAACGTTCGAGTGACCTTGCCGTGAAAAGCCCATCGTCGCTAGAGCCCTCACGCGCCACCTGCATTCTCTGCGCGTGGGACTCACATGCCGCCATTTTCTCGGCTCATGGTAGCGTGTGCCGCCGCCATTTTGCCTTAGACCACCACGATTCGCCTCGCCTTGCCTTCCCGATTCCAGATCTATCCTTTCCTGCTTGATCAGACACCTTTCTAGAAGTGGGTCTTTGATCTCGTCATAAAAATCGAATCTTTTTCGATCTCGCAAAACTCTTTTGATCAGATCTGACTTATTTGTTACTACTTGGGACGTTCAAAGGCTTATTGGTAATTATTTTCTTTTTTTGTGCTTCCTTATTCTCTTTTCATCCATGGAGACTTGTTCCTTTGCTATGTTTGGTAAGATCACACACCCTACATCTCTTATTGCTTCTTGCACTGATTTCAAAAATTTATGGATTATGGATTCTGGTGCGACTGATCATATGACATGTCTAGCTGATCCGTTTCTTTCATATCACCCTACTAGTGGTATTCATACTTTAAGTATAGCTGCAGCTGATGGATCCCACAAATCAGTTATGGGTTATGGTAACATTCAAATTCAACCTTCCTTGCTTTAAAAAAAATATTTTTCATATTCCTTAGCTCTCCACTAATCTTATCTCCACTTATAAGCTTACAACTGACATGAATTGTGATGTCACCTTTTTTCTTACCCATTGTGTTATTCAGGATCTCTCCACGGAGAGGACAGTTGGAGTTGCTAAGGAGAATGGTGGGTTGTACTTTCTCGTCCCAGAGCATGCTACAAGTGATACCAAGAATCAATTATTGATGACTCATCACCCGTCTACTTCATTCTCACAAATTTGGCTTCATCACAAGCGCCTGGAGCACCTGTCATTTAGCCTATTGAAGTCAATGTTTTCTTCTTTGTTTCTGAATCAGTCAATTGACTCCTTCCATTGTGTTGTTTGTGAACTTGCAAAACACTACCGTGTGCCCTTTCCTTCAAGTTCAATAAAAAGTATTGAGCCTTTTACTCTTATCCATTCCGATGTTTGGGCCTTTCTAAAGTACATAGCATTTAAGGTGCTAGGTGGTTTGTCTCTTTTATTGATGATTATACTTGGGTGACGTGGATATTCTTGATGAAAGACAAGTCAGAAGTATCAAAATTGTTTATTCGGTTTTATCACATGATCGAGACACAGTTTGGTAAAAGCATTAAGCAATTAAGATCTTATAATGGCACAGAGTATGTCAACCAACGACTGTCACAATTCATTTCAGATAAAGGTATCATTCATGAGCTCACATGTGTAGACACCCCTCAACAAAACAGGGTTGCTGAAAGAAAAAATCGTCACTTGCTTGAAGTAACCAGAGCATTACTTTTTCAGACATCTGTTCCCGGCTTTTATTGGGGAGAAGCCATATTAACAGCAGCTTATTTGATCAACCGTTTACCCTCCCGAGTGCTTGGTCATGTCAGTCTTGTTCATTCCATGATATCTTTCTTTCCTTCTGTTCCAGTCATGCAGAGCCTTCAATCTCGAGTCTTTGGGTGTATTGCCTTCTCCATATTCATAAACAACATCGGAGCAAATTGGACCCTCGAGTTCTTAAATGTATCTTCCTTGGTTATGCTCCAGACAAGAAGGGGTATAAATGCTATCATCCTCCAAGTCATAAGTTCTTTGTCTCCATGGATGTCAGTTTCCTTGAATCCGAGTCATATTTCCTTCATCCTCAGTTTCGGGGGAGAATAAGTTAGAAGCTTCGTCCATTTTCTCCTTTGAGTCTAAGCCTTCTTTACCATTACCCATACCTCTTTAGTCAGTCTTTACTTCACTAGATGCTCCAGAAGTTGACAACAAGAAAGAAGACTTAGTTGATGAAGCTGAGAGTTCTTCTGATACTTCATGTGACATGCCTTTTATTGATCGACAGAAAGTACGCAAAGCTGGGACACTCGAACTACTGTACCAAAGAAAGAAACAACCCACACTGCTCCACCGGTAAGTACTGAATGCACTACCTATTCTATTCCTGAGCCTGATATTAATTCTGATGACTTACCTATTGCTATAAGGAAAGGGGAAAGGTCTTGTACCCAACACCCTGTCTCTTATTTTGTCTCCTCTAAGAATCTTTTTATGCAGCATAGAAGTTTTGTTACAGCACTTGACTCCATTTCAACCCCAACGTCAGTGCATGAAGCATTAAAGGATAATAATTGGATTAAAGTCATGCGTGACGAGATGAATGCTTTAGAGAAGAATAATACATGGGAAGTCATTGATAGGCCAAACGGAAAAAAGGCAGTAGGGTGCAGATGGGTGTATACTCTGAAGTATAATTCTAACGGGACTCTTGAGAGATATAAGGCTCGATTAATAGCCAAGGGGTACAATTTAATATGAAAAATTCCTTCCTCAATGGCGAATTAGAAGAGGAGGTTTACATGGAGATCCCACCAGGATTTGACTCTACAAATGGAGATAAGAAAATTTGCAAATTAAAGAAGGCATTGTATGGTTTGAAGCAATCCTCAAGTGCTTTTTTGGAAGATTTACCAAGGTTATGTTTTCATTGGGATATAAGCAAAGTCAAGGAGATCACACACTTTTCTTTAAACATTCTCAAGAAGGCAAGCATACTATCCTTCTAGTTTATGTTGATGACATTATTATAACAGGTGATTATATAGGTGAAAAATGTGCGCTGCAAGAAAGACTGACTTCTGAATTTGAAGTTAAAGATCTAGGAAAACTGAGATATTTTCTTGGGATAGAGGTTGCTCATTCGAAGAAGGGGATTTTTATTTGTCAACGAAAGTATGTTCTTGATCTCCTTAAAGAAGCATGAAAACTTGGGTGTAAACCTTTCAGTACTCCGATTGAGCAGAATCACAAACTAGGAAGTGAAAATGACAGCCCTCCGGTTGTCAAAGGACAGTATCAACGAATGGTGGGAAGATTGATATATCTGGCTCATACTAGACCTAATGTAGCTTATGTAGTCAGTATTGTTAGCCAATTTATACATGATTCGAGGGAAAAACACCTGCAAGCAATATACAGGATTCTCCAATATCTAAACGGCACACCAGGCAGAGGACTATTATTCCAGAGAGGAGGAAATCTATCCTTAGAAGTGTATACAGACGCCGATTATGCTGGAATTGTGACTGACCGACGATCTACTTCGGGCTATTGTATGTTTCTCTGTGAAAATCTAATAACATGGAGAAGTAAAAAGCAAAATGTGGTTGCTAAGTCGAGTGCAGAAGCAGAATTTCGGGCCATGGCCCAAGGTATCTGTGAGTTATTATGGCTGAAAATTATTCTCGATGATCTCAAGGTGAGATGTGAAGGATCTATGAAGTTATTCTATGATAACAAATAAGCTATCTATATAGGCCACAATCCAGTCCAACACGATCGAACCAAACATATTGAGATTGACCGTCACTTCATCAAAGAGAAACTAGATAGTGGACTAATAATCACTACTCCAGATATTCCTTCTGATCGTCAATTGACTGATGTCGTGACTAAGGGTCTTCCTAATGATAGATTTCAAGAGCTTATTAGCAAGCTGAGAATGATAAATATCCATTCCTCAGCTTGAGGGGGAGTGTTGTAAATATTAGAATTAATGTTGTAAATATTAGAATTATTTGTTTATTATTTGTATTAGCTAGAATACTCTAGAAGCGTCTTTGGGCTTAGCCCATTAAGTCTTTTAGTCTCTTTAAATAGAGAACTCTTGTACAGCTATTACTACAATTCAATAATATACAATCCTTTACTTTCAATTACATGTATATGCGTGCCCTTTATGGGAACTCTACTTCTGATTTTGTTGCTAGAGAACTTGATATTAGACTAGAGAATAAGAGAAAAAACATGAAGACTTTCTGCACTGGGCAGTAGGTAGCAGGTCCACAGGGATTGAAACAAAACTTTGTGGAAAAAAATTTCATCGGTGGGCAGTGGATCCACCGGGCTGCATGAATCGGGATTGTCTCCCATTAGGCTCTAGATATCCTGGTAAGAGAAAGAGAAAATGAAAGTTATTTGTATTATTCGGTGTGTTTGAATTACATAATGGAGGCTCTTATACAGAGCTAATGTAATAATTACAAGAATCACAAATATCCTAATTATGTTATGACAAGATTTGGTTTACCTATAGCATTTTTCACATAGTTTCCAACAATTTTCAAATATTATTAGCAATACAAAAATTACCATTGCATTGGTTATAGAAAGATGATCTCAGTAGACCTGGATGACCATATTTTTTCTTCTACCTCAATTGTCCATTTCATAGCTTTCTAGTTTAACCTAGATGGCTAGAAATGATCTGTTTGACTTTGTAATTCGATTGCTATATGAATGTTTTGGATATTCCTGCCATTTATGCAGGTGAAAGACATGATGGATCTTGAGTCTGTGCATATGGAATATCTTGCTGATTCGTTATGCATGTAAGTTTACAGTTATTTTTTGCTTACCACTTATAAGGATATTTACTACAACACTTTAGGCCATTTTTTATCTTTATTTTGGTAATAATGATTACTTAAGGAAACAAATTGAATTATGAATTCTGTCTAGTCTGGTCTCTTCTATGCTAAATTTCTCCCCCAAGTTAATATTTTCTCTGAAAGTCAGTGATGCATATCTCAATGCGACATGCTATGTCTCCTGTTTAGTGGATCTGGATGTGTGGTCGAAAGCTCAGTCATTGTTAGAGAGTTATTGTTAGTATTAGGAGTTAGTTTTAGGTTATTGAGGCCAACCAAGCCTGCTGGAGCATCAGAAAAATCATATGGTGGCTGGATCTTGAAGAAACCGACTAGATCTTAAAATCGCAGGTGTAGCAGCGATCTGGCATAGGTGCTGTTTCAGGACAAAATGGCTCGCGTTTTGGGGATAGAGAAGGGCGTCTTATTGGTCTGAGGAAAGCTCGTCACTTTTGAGGCTGTTCTTGGTGGTTGGGTTCCATTTTGGAGATTTGGTGATAATACCCCTTTAAGTTCAGACTTCAGAGGGTAAACTGCTTCTGACTCCATTAATCAGTGTTTTATGTATTTATGTATATATTCATTGCAGATGTTTCCTGTCTGATGAAACAAAGGCAGTAGGCAGCATTATTGAGAGTATTTTGCAATGTGCACTTGACTTCCGGTCGTGTCTTACAGTTGGTGCTTGGGATACTGGAAGTGATCAGGAAAAATTGTTGGGCAAACTTTCTACAATCAATATATCCCAGGTAAGCCATGCGATACACTTATGCTTTAGAAAATAAAATTTAATGAAAATACTCTCCGTAGCTTGTTCTTTGATATATTAAAAGGATTCTGGACATTTTGGCATCTTATATATATAGAGATTGCGAGTGATTATTCTTAACTGGCTTTGTGTTCATTGGAATGTCTACATATGGTGTATGGCAATATACATGCTTCCCTGTATTCTAGGGGGTCTTCTCAATGTTCTCATTAGTCGTAGGGTCTGATGCCCTCAAAATAACCTAAGCTTTGCCGAAAGGCCTCTTAAAAGCATCCACGCATTAGATAAGAACATAAGAGGAAATGGAACATCCTATCTGGAACATGTTAGGTATGTCTTCAAATAATTGGTCCTAAACTCATAGTAAAAAGTATATTGACCTGCTGTTTGTATTTATTTGCAGGTGCTTTCCATAAAACAAAAGTTTGATAGAAGTCTAAAAGAATTGCACATTTGCTATATTAAGGAACCAAAACACTGGAATTTTGGGCTTTCTCGGTTTTGGGAATATCTCAACTACAATGAATATTATTCCCATGTCAGCAATGATACGGGGTACTATGCTGTCTGAAATTTGCCAGCTTTCACAGATGAATGATGGCATTTTGTATCAGCCGAGAGCTAGGAAGCCAGCTTTGACAGATGAATGATGGCATTTTGTAACAACATTGATTTGTGGCTCGGTATTCTTGATTGGAACATGTTAACATCCTCTCAGGTTTTAGAAGAATCAATTAAATGTGAGGAAGTGACTGGTTGAAAAGTCATGGATGTTAGGAATAGCTTAACCAATTGTATCTCTGATGGAGGTAAAAAAAAAAAAAAAAAACACCAAACTCATTGTATCTGTGAAATGTCAATGAGATTATTTCCCATGGATTTGCTAACGGAAATTGAGTTTATGTAGAGGGTATGAGAATGTTTGGGATGCTATGTAAATGTCAATGACGATGTTACAATTTACTTTGTAAAAAGGAAAGGAAAAAAGAAAAATGTTTTCTGAGTGGCAATCTTCGCCGTACTTATTTAGTTTGGATTGCTCATAAGTTTTAACTGTTTGATACGGTAAATGGATACCAACCAGATTAGAATCAACTCAATTCATGCCATGATACGACAGGAATCTTGAATCTCCACCCTCTAGCCTTGGTTCACTCTGGAGGGGTTAGGAACACTGGTATTGTACATGAGAAAGAACCTCCAGTATCCTTTAGAGCTGAGAAAGCACAGACATACCACCTCGGCACCTCCTTTGTGTCCCGCGGGTAGGGGTGAAAGTGGGCTGGGCTGGGCCAAGCTTTGCCCTGAAAAGTCCAAGCCTACGTAAAAAAATTTCAATTTGGCCTGGTCCAAGCCTAGTATGAGTTTAACTGTTAGCCTGACTTGACCTGTTTATAAAAAAAACAAATGGTCTGGCTTGGCCTGTTAGCCTGTTAATTTTTAACTTCCAAGCAGAACCATGAATCAACTTTACAAAGTACTCAAATTCTTTTGCTATACCAAAAATCATAATTTCAACGTCCAAACAGAATCATGAATCATAACAAAACTTATACAATATGCATTTAAGTCATTTTCAAAAGCAAAATGCTCAAACTAAATAATATATATTTCATCAAATCCAACAAACAAATCCATACTATGTAAATTAAAATAACTACATGAATCCATCAAACACATCATGATGCTTGTAGTAAGTATAACCTCTCCCAAAAATCTTTTAATATATTCATATACATAATCTAACATATTGAGATGTTGGTTCCTCCTATATAAGAAATAAAGTAAGATTTCTATTAAAATATAATCGAATATAATTAAGTTATAAATAATTGCAATTGATTAAATTTATATCTTTTGTTTTTTCTTCAAGGCATACTTACTCTATTTTATTTTATTTAAAATAAATAGTACAATATAGACCGACCTGTAGGCTTATAGGCCCGGCCTTTTGAAAGTGGGCCTACGACCTTTTTATTAAACAGGCTTTTTTAAGGTCCAAGCCCAACCTATTATACAAAATATACTAAGTCAGGTCTGGCCTGATGTAGGCTGAGCCATAGGCCCCTGTAGGCCGGCCCGACCCAGTTTCACCCCTACCCGCGGGTCTAGGGGAAGTTAGGTCAGTTATAATAAATGGGTCCAACATCATGTCACAACTCAAAATCGTAAGGCATTAGGTTTATAGGTCCATCTACTTATATCTATTTCACTTAGCTCATTATCAACCAATGTGAGACTTATCACACTTGAATATTTCAACAATATCCCCTTCAAGTGTGAAACTCACTTTTGATATACTCCCTCTCAACCGAGTACCCAAGCTCAAAGTATTCAACCTGCCTCTAGTCAATCACCAAGTTAGCTCGAGTCTAAACCGACTCTGATATCACTGTTAGGCGGGTCTCCAAGGGGAGCCCGTGGCGGGGGACCCGTGGTGGAGGACACTGCCAATGAGTTAAGCTAAACTAACCACACTAAGTAGATCTGACACCACTTCTTAACCCAAAATCTTAAGGCATTGGATTCATGGGTCCATTCACTTATATTCACTTCACTTAGCCCATCATTACCAACCAATGTGAAACTCATCACACTTGAATATCCCAACAATCCAGGCCCAAGTACTCAACCTGCCTCTAGCCAATCATCAGGCTAGTCCGAGCCCAAACCGGCTCTACTACCAGAGTCAAGCGGGTCCAAGGGAAAGCCCGTGGCGAGAGATAACTACCAATGGGCTAAACTAGACCACCATATCAAATGAATTTGACATCATGTCTCAACCAGAGTCAAGCGGGTCCAAGGGAAAGCCCGTGGCGAGAGATAACTACCAATGGGCTAAACTAGACCACCATATCAAATGAATTTGACATCATGTCTCAACCCAAAATCTTAAAGTATTGGGTTAATGGATCCTCCCACTTATATGGACTTCACTTAACTCATTACCAATCAATATGAGACTCATCACACTTGAATACTTCAACACTTTACATATATTATATTTAGTAGTTACAATAAATAAACTTTGTACACTGACTTCTCTACATCTTCCATTAGTAGTGGTAGAAGGCCTAAAATGAGGCATTACCGGGCAATCAAACATTCATTAAAACCTTTTTCATATGTAGTCTTTGAATAATCTTCAATCTCAAGGGACATGCTCATAGAATATCTAGAAGGATTTACCACTCAAAATTACTACAAATCAGAACTGGAGGTAATACATATTGTTCGCACAAAGTAAAATGTGGGAGAAACATAAACTACACAATAAGCCAAATTTGCAACTGGCAAAAGAAGGGATGGTCGTCATGTGCTCATTGATTCTTGATGACGTAAAATGGAACGCGAGTACTGTACCCTCATTTTTTTTATTTTTTTTAAATAAAGAGGGCCTTATCCTAAGGCCCACTACTAAAGAACCTAAATACCAAAGAAGTCAGCAGAGAGAAGAGCCCGAAGACCTAACGGGGGATCATGGAAAATATGCAAACCACTACCAGCAGAAATCCCATGCATCGCGAGCCAAAGAGCACATGCATTGTTTTCCCGATTTGTATGAGAATTGAGAAGAACGAATTACCCAGCTCTCTTTTAAGCACTTCCTGATTTGAGCATATCAGACTATCAGTCAATGAGTAATGGTGCTCATAAGCTCTTCTGTTAGTATAGAGCCACTGGCAGCCCCAAGTAATTCGAGTGGCTGAATTGATATGAAAAGAGAATTTCTGAATATACATCATATATGATCAAGAATGATATCATTAGCATCTTTAGGAGGAATTTAAAGTCTTAATTCTGGACTCACCTTTAATTTTGGATTAGTCCAGAAAACCTATAGAATTGCCAGAGAATAATCTAAAAAAAAAAAAAAATGATATCATTAGTATCATTTTTCACTAAATGCATTTCCAACCTGTGATATTTAGTATGCAGATAGCTATGTCCGTTGTAATATTCCTTATTAAGTGCAATTTAAAAGAAATAAGAGAAAGAGATAATTAAACATTTGTAAGACAGTCACGGTGACTAGAAACTCAACCAAAACCCATCGCAGCAAGCCTGTCTGTGCATATGCTTGTGTTTGCCTTATAAAGGGGCTGTTGAATCATAATCTTGATAATACTATGTGCTGTGCTGATTATCAAAGGTTACATTTTATCGAATTGAGCCGGCCTGTTGCGAGCCAACCTAAAGATGGGTCGGTCCGTAATAAATTAAGGATAATTGTTTTTTTTACCAAGTAAAGTAAATATAATTTGAATTAGTAAATTGTTAACTCAATATGACGGACCTATGGGAATTGTGAGATATTTCGGGTTGACCTGAAAAATCATATTCTAACAATGAAAAAAAATTATTTTTTGGTTATAAGCAAGGGCATATTAAAATTATATATATATATATATAATAAGATTAATATTTCTTATGTTATAGCTATATATACATAAAAATATATAAAATTCATATAGAGTCGTGTAAAAAAAAAAATATATATATAAATCTCAGATAGTCTTTTATATATATATATATAAAATTATCTCCGAAGAAATATTAATTCCGTAATAAATTTAGGTGAAAGGAACAAATCATTTAATATTGAAAAAAAAAAGAGAGAGAGAACTGAGAGAGGGTACGTGTCAGTCTGCTGAGCCTGAAATATTTGATCCTTGGAAGGAAAAAGAAGCAGCATCAGCCATCAAGCGCTGAAGCAGTTTGTGATATGTATGTGAGGCAGAGGCTGCAATCACAATCATAATCCAATGGCAGTTGCTCATATATCTGCTTCTCTCTCTGTCTCTCTACGCGGTAACGCTTTCTCCCTCTTTCCATTATGGACTGGTTTCTCAAGTTCAAACTAACCCCTTTCCGTTGCAGATGCTTGCGTTTTCAATGCACCAAAACCTCCTTCATCTTCTGCTCGCTTTCCTCAACTCAATGCACCATCCTTTGCCACCGGTTCCCCACTCTGTAAGACTTCTATTCTAGTTCCCAGTCACTACCTGATGATGCTTCTGTTTCTCAGCAATCTTGGGTTTATCGCACAGATCATTCCTTCTGTTGACTTCTTCAGATTAAAGAAAATATGTAGCATAAGGATTAGTGTTTATTCGCTACTCCTTTTAATACCTTCCTTTGATGAATACATTATTATTATTATTATTAATGGATTTTGTGGGGCGCCAGAGTAATGTTGGAAACTTGAAATAACATGTGGCAGTTAGTAAGGTTAGTGATAAGTGATGTTTACCTTTTTGTGTTCAGTGATCTCAACGAGTTATGAAAGGAAAACAACATGCAAAGCAAAGCCTATTTCAATAAGATGTGAGCGAAGTACCCAAGAAGGGAACAGTTTGGATGTATGGCTAGGCAGGCTGGCCATGGTTGGCTTTGCAGTGCTCGTCACTGCTGAAATTACCACCGGCAAGGGTCTTCTAGAGGTATTATGAGACATTCATTATACTCTAATTCCCGTGATTTAGTGATCAAACATATATCACCATTTTTTGAAGCATAAAGAAGCTGTTTTTAATTTACTGCATCAAGTGTGATTTTTCCTCCCTTTGGCTTTAGTATACCCACCCACTTACCTCTTTGGCCATCATTCTTGAATCTGACGCTTCAAGATTAAGCTTTATGGAGGTCTAATACCGCTTTGCTCCTACCCTTACCCACCCCCTCTCTCTCATTATAAGCAGAATCTGTTGCAATAATAATAATAATAATAATATTTTTGTATTTTGATTTTGCAGAACTTTGGAGTCACAGCTCCACTGCCTACAGTTGCCCTGGCTGTAACAGCATTTGTGGGTGTCCTCGCGGCGGTTTTTATCTTTCAGTCAGCCTCCAAGAACTGATCAGTGTATTTAAGCCGGTAGTGCTTGTAGTTGATTCTGCAATACTGAGGGGATTTTTTTTTCTTAAGACAAAGATTTATCGTTTTTTGTTGTTGTAATATTTGTGTTGATGACAAAAAGAAAATGGCACCAGTGCCGGAAAATGTTGAGCCTAAATAAGGCCTTACTTTCACTGTTGCCTTGCCTTGCCTTTGTCCGTTCCCCGTTAATTTCTTGTTGAGATTTGTGTTTCGTTTCCCTTTCTCCTTTTTATTCTATTTAGGATGATATTCCGTCGCTTAGTTTTGAATTAGAGAAGTTTCCCAGTCATCATACTACTACTACTACTTCTTGCACATCTAAAAGCAACAAAAAAGAATACCCTTGTGCACACGAGTCAATAAATCTTTAATGGTATATCAAAGTAATGGTCCTAATTACTGAACGCTGAAGTGTTTTATTTTAGTGTCAATAGCCTGACTCCGAGCACAAATGAGAGTTTAAATCTATACAGCTATTATGATTTAATTAGAAACTGTTTAACTTTGGGTCAAGGCCTCTTGGTGGGATGGGTAGAATATGAGATTGACTTCCGTGAGAAGCCTCATTTCAGGTGGGGGACAAGTGCATGGCTTTTCTAAAAAGTTCAACCATGACCTGCCTCAAGTCTATTCCAAGAACAATCAAAAGTTTGATCATCTTTGCGATATTAATTTAGACTTCATTGCTTGATGGAAACAGCTGCTATTGGAAATTAAAGATAAGATTCTCTCTTTATCCTTTACCTTCTAATTAGAGTCCAATCAGGTATTTGTCCCCATGATGTCTACGTATATTACAAGAGATATTTTCTGTTGTGCCTTCAAAACGTTAAGTATGCTAAATCATCAATCAAGTCATCTCTATCACCGTGTAGCTCAGCGCTGATTCAATCAAGAATTTCGGTTCACCAGATCCAGTTGTTCAATGGGCAAGATCATATCTCGACTGGCAAAGGGGTTCTTACAGAAATTTGAATGGAGGATTCTGATGGTAGGTCTTGATTCCTCTGGGAAGACAACCATACTGTACAAGCTTAAAATGGGGGAAACGGTCAGAACCATACCCACTATTGGTATCAGCGACAGTACCTTCCGAGTTTCCTTTGATATTATTTAGAATTCTCTTATTATGGCAGTTGCCACATGCCAAATTCAGCACCCCAAAATCACCTATATTCTGTTGCTACATGAATTTTAAGTTGGTCTAATTGAGCTCCGTCGGTTCATCTTGTTTTTAAGTTTTTTCTCTTATTTGTTTTGATCTAGATATGCAGACTTCATTTACATAAAAGGGAGTGGTGGGAGATAATAAAGATTTTGAGCTTGCTATGACTTTTTATATTCCCTCATGACAGTGAATGCGGGTGATAATTGTTTTCTGATGAAGCAGGTTTTAATGTGGAGAGTATAGAGTACAAAAATGTTCGCTTTACCATCTGGGATGTAGGAGGACAAAACAAGGTATTAACAAGTCTTTTTGTGCTACCGTAGCAGACATTACCATTAGTTCTGATAAGCAGATAGAGTCAATTGACACAAGTTATTCTTTATTCAAGGCATGACTCATCTTAACATTAGCTTGGTAGTGCATTATACTGTGAGCAGTGATGCAGATTCGATCTTTATGGAGACATTACTTTCAGAACACAAATGGAGTTGTATTTGTGGTGGACAGCAATGATAGACAAAGAATCTCAGAAGCCCGGAATGAACTGCATAATTTGCTAAGTGATGTGAGTCCAGCTGTTGCGGAATTGCATATATTCTGTTTCCTACATGACAGTGAGATTCATCTTGTTCTACGATTGCATGCTTCAATAAACATGATATTGTTACTTGTTAGTGCTGTACTATACTGTAGATGAATTGCCTCATACATCCTTTTGCAGTTTGAACTAGAGAGTGCTGTACTTGTCGTCTTTGCTAATAAACAGGACCTTCCAACTGCCATGAGTGTTAGGGAGGTTGCTGATAAGCTTGCCCTGCATTCACTTGGTAATCGGAGTTGGTAAGGGTTGGCTTCATTGTAATGCTTTATATATATGTTTGTTCTACTTACTGAATTCTTCCGTGCAGGTACATTCAGAGCACCTCTGCCATTTCTGGCCAAGGACTCTATCAAGGTCTTGATTGGCTATTAAACAACATTTCCTAACAGGAAGCATGACTGACATAGGTCCCTGCCCATTACGCAAGATGCTATGACTCGGAGCTCAATTGTACTTCTCAACAACAAAGTGTCAGATTCGCGTCTCCTTGAAATACTAACTCAGTCTGTAGCAAATTATCTTCAGTAGTACTGAATCATTGTTAAAATTAGAGGGGGGAAAACACATCACACCTAATTTTACTTTTATTTCACTCATCCTTTTGTTGTCAATCATACCTTAGTTCTATTTTTCCCTAATACATATTCCTTTAGCAATCAAGATATGTTCAGGCTGTGGTGGATATATTTAAATAAACTACTAAGTTGCAAGTTTTTTAATATTTTATTATTATAATAATTTTGTGATTAGTAATTTAGTTAATTATCAATTAGTAAGTTATTAGTGATTTTCATTGTTTTGTTAATTAAGGTGTATTATGTTAAATAGTTATAGTTACAAAATTAATGTTAATTAACGACTTAGTAGTTAATGTTATATTTGTTCGTTAATCTTTTTATTATTTTATTAATTATAAATTTAGTGGTTAGTATTAAATTAATTATTAAGTAGAGTTTTAGTTGTTAATATCCAATGTGGAGAGAGTTTGATAAAGTTAGAACCCGTTGGACTTCTAAAAAAAATAACTTTTATTTTTTCCTTATTTCAGAAGTGTTTTTTACGAAAGTTAAAATTATTTATATTTTTATAAAAATATTTAGTTTTTTAAAAAAAAAATTGACTTTTAACTTCTGCTTTTTATAAGCTAAAATTTATGGATCTGGATCCTTTAATGTGAAAATTCACATGACCATGTCATGTGGTGAGGAATCATAACCACACAAAAATGGATCAATGATAAAAAAGAAGGAGAGAGAAAAAATGATAAAATAGGTAGTTACAAAATCATAACTGTTGATTTACCTTTGTATGATTGTGATCTTCTCACATAACCATATCATGTTTTTTTGGCACATCGGAGGATCCATTTCCAAAATTTATAGTTTAAAAAAAACATATTTTTGGCTTTTTTTTAATTTCTGCTTTTTTTTTTAAAACAAACATCCAAACAAATTTAAAGTGAAGAGTGATTTTTTTTTATGAAAAAAAAAGTTTTTAGAAAAAAGAAAAAAAAATCCATCCAAACATGCCGTTGCGGGAATGAAGAAAGCTAAGAATGAAAGAGAGTTGAGAATGGACATGTGAGTGATAAGGGGTGGACTGTGGAGAGTATTTTTAAGGAGAGGTAACGAGGTAATATTTGGGTATTTTCAGGTGACATCACTTGCATATTTTTATTTGTGAAAAGTTTTAAAACCTTTCTTTATTTGCTTCAAAAATTTTAATCCTGAATGCTTTTTTTTATTTATCATTTATCACTCTTGGGATTTTATTTTTTTATCTAAATTCATTCTTAACGCTATCAGATATTGGGTTGATGTGTCTATTTTATTGTAGTGAACTAGTAAAATCATCGATGATATGTGATTAAAAAAAGAAACAGATCGCGATAAGTGATAAAATATTAAATCATACGATGGTTTTTTGAACTTTTATTTTATAACAATTAAAATATGAAGAAATTTAATGCCAGGAATAATATGGAACTAAACAAACTAATATGGTATATGATCACGATAAATAAAGAGTGTTTTGTTCAACATATACTAAAATTTATTGCAAAAAAAATAAAAAATTAAGGTCTCATTGTGGAAAAAAAGAAGAAGAGAAATAACGTGAATATCATTATTATTTTTATTATTATTTTTGCACTCTTGCGATGTACTTAAATTAAGATTAGATAATGCGAATTTCTTAATTTTTTGGTAAAATATAAACAGACTGGTTAATGGGTGCTTTATTTCCATTATTTTAATCTTTATTTTTTTTAAATGTTAGTTTTTAATTTATTAAAAAATAAATAGATAGAGTTAAATAAAACCTAAATGATTAAAATAATAATAATTTTTATTGCATTTGTTTACCGAAAAAAAAAGAATAATATAATTTTTTCTTTAGTAACCATTGATATGTATAACAATAATATATTCAAATACAATATCAATAAATATAAAAAAGCTGAAAAGCATATGGATGATATTGAACAGAACATTCTTTCTTTGCAATGGTCATTAACTTGTTCAACTTCACATTATTTCTCACATCAAATTTTTTATTTTTTAATTATTGTAAATAAAAAATTTAATAACATAAATAAATAAATATAAAAAAATAAATAAAAATACTAAAAGTAGTGAAAAAAATATAAAATAACAGATCTTAAAATATTTAAAATCTGAGTTTTATAAATAACCCATAACTATTGTACAACCAGTGTTTGGATCATCTCTTTTTTAAGCTAGAAACTCTTATAAGCTAAAGCTAAACAAAAGAGCTTAAAAAAAAACTAAAAGTTGTTTGGTAATCATATAAAAATTTTAGCTTCAAAGTTATTTAAAAGCACATATTTCAAGAAAATTATCTCTCTATCTTTATAACCCTTCATTTTAAAAAAAAGCACACAATTCAAAAAAATCAGATAAAAGCTTTAAAAAAATGTTCTTCTTAAAAGTTTTTAGCTTTTAGATTTTTTCTTATTATAAAAAAAAAAATTCATTATAAGAGTTTTTTCCCAAAATCTGTTTGACCTAGCTTATGCTTATAAGTAGCTTCTAACTTAAAAAAGAGAGGATCTAAACAAGGGCTTTATGACCCTTTTACCCTTCATTAATTAATTAATAACAATTTTGTCCCCTATTCAAAACTATCTACCAATATGTCCCTCTTTAATCGATTAACTTGAAGATTTAATCGATTAAATGGTCAAAACTGACAAAAATGGTTGACTTGAAGATTAATCAATTAAATATTCAATTTAATCGATTAAATCTCCCAACAGCCAACAAAGATCAAATCTCTTCCATAAACAAAAGCAGATTTCATGCATATGAAGCAAATCAACAAGCATAGATAACCAAACAAACAAAGAAACCAACAAAAGAAAAACGATTCTTGAAAACTGGATTGATTTACATGAACTGATTTTGTTACTTTCCTTTTGATATAGTACGTCAACCTATTAGGTTTTAAAATATGATAAACAAGCAAATCAAAGAAACAAAAATTCTTTTGTTTCTTTGATTTCTACATCTCACATGAAAACATTGCTTATTACATGAAAAACGGCGCGAAGTGATTCTATTGTCAACCTCGGAACGACGACAGCGATCAAGGCGAACAACGAACCCTTCCCGTCTTGCATATTCATCATAAAAATACTTAGCAGAATCTTCAATCAGTTTTTCGTGTATTGGAGGTTATTTGAATTTTGAATTTAATGTTATAGGAGTTGATTGCGATTTGTATTTAATAGGAGCTGATTACGTTTTGTATTTAATAGGAGTTGATTGCGTTTTGTATTTAATAAGACGCAATCAGCTCCTATTAAATACAAATCGCAATCAATTCCTATTACATTAAATTCAAAATTCAAAATTTAAATAACTTTCAATACCGTGTTTGTCTCATTCGATCAATGCTTTCACGCTCATTCGGGATATTAAATCGATTAAATAGAAGTTTTAATCGATTAAATCATTTAAGAGAGATATTTAATCGATTAAATCATTTAAGAGAGATATTTAATCGATTAAATCTTCAAGTCAACCATTTTTGTCAATTTGATCATTTAATCGATTAAATCTTCAAGTTAATCGATTAAAGAGGGACATACTAGTAGATAGTTTTGGATAAGAGGCAAAATAGTTATTAATTAATGAAGGGTAAAAGAGTAAAAAAGCCTCCAAACAGGCACTAGGCCTAAAGTTACAGGCTTTCTGGGAACTATTGAAACGTATAATAACCTGCCTTTGTTGAAATAATTAAATTAGAATCTGATTTTTCTATTTTGAAAAAAAGGTTTTATTTTCTCTTATTATTGGAGAAAGATATTTCTTATCACAGACACATAATGTGATGGGCCACCATCCTTTAAAAAAAGAAAAAAAAATGATGACATAATTTTTTATGTAAAAAAAGCATGAGATAATTATTTTATATAAAATGAGAGAATAATTTCCTTTTGAAATATTACATAAATTTGTCCGGAGCGACAAAACTATGACACATGTTTGCTTTATTTTTTTTGGAAATACATGTTTGCTTTATTTTAATACAAACAAGCTTCCCAATAACAATGGTAAGAAACTAGAAACAATTTCCCAAGCAATATTTTTCTTTTTTCTTTTTTTGTATAACAAAAAAGTTTAAGTAGGGTTAGACACCGATATTCCACTAGGGTCAGGGAAGATCTCCCAACTTTTTTGAGGATTTCTGGGAAGAATTACATATCACCCACCAACAAAGTCCTCACATCGGCCAGCGGGGTTTGAACCCACACCCTTGAGGAGTATGGACCAAATCCTTAGCCAACTGTGCTCACCTTTGTTGTCATTAACATTTAATTTCATCTCCAAAAAAAATTATAATAATAATTTCAAAACACTTTACTATTGTCATTAAATTTTTAAACAGAAAAATATTTCTGCAGTTACTGCAGATAAGTTATCTGCATTTATTTTCAAAACGACGTCGTTTTCGGATTGAAATATTAAAAAATATATAATTATAAAGACTAGAATAATCCTAAAATAAATTAAAATTACAAAAATATCATGATTTCTGTCCCAAAACGACATCATATTGAACTTACGGCAGATACTCCAGAAAAAGCGAACTCATTTTTTAAATATGAAACGAAGTTTTAAACACTTTCCTTTTTCATCTTTAATTTGATGGCATGCAGATGCAGTGGCAGTGAAAAATATGTTATTATTGTGGCTATTAGCTTTCACACTAGATGATAATTTGCTTAAATAAAAGTTGCTCGAACAAGTTCTAAACACACGGAAAGAAGAGCATACCAAATGCTTTAGAGAAAAAGTTTAAAGAAAAAGCTCAACTTAGAACATTTTTAGTGTGAGCGAATTAGATAAAATAATAATAAATTTACTTTCTCAGAGAGATAATTTTTTTATAACTCTCCTAATATTTTTAGTGAATTTCTAAGAGATCTTCGATAATTTTTCTCAATTGGATTTTCCACATAAAATCTTGTCACTATTATTGGTGATTTATGTACTTGTTAATTTCGTGGCAAGTGAAATAAAAGTTGAAATTAATTTATACAGTTAGTATACAGGAAAGAGATTCAAAAGGCATACTTCATAAACTCGGTAATTATTTAATTAGTCACAATGGTGGTAGCGCTGAAAGACTTTCACTTCACTTACACCTATCTAACTGGTTAAGAAGGTTTTAAATTCCTAACAACTATAATGCGAATGAGGAAGACCACCCACGGTCTTCGATTAGCTCACACACAGCAGGGGCCGTTTAAGAGAGTTGGAGGAGAGTTTTGCGTCGTCTAAAAGTGTTCCACTTCTCTGTGGCATCATCCACTTATACTAAAAGAGAAGAAACATGTCAAATTAGGAAACGGTCACTCACATGGCGACGACCGAAAGACAAGACAACCCAACCCCAAAGCATGAACAGACATAATAACCTTGTTCTAGACCAGAAATAACCTCGTCCAATCTTTGAAAATATATTTTAAAAACACAATGAACTGACGCATTGAGCTTAGTCATGAAGCTCATTATTTTGAATTTAGATGGTTTTTGGTTCTTTTGGGGATGGAAACACAAGCGAGGTGGACTTAGAGGACGCGTATGATGATATGAATAGAAGATTTGTACGCAGAATTAATACACATGAAGTTAAGGAGGCTTTAAAGAGGATGAAGACTAATAAAGCCTTGGGGCCTGATGGTGTCCCTATTGAAGTGTGGAGAGGCCTGGGGGATGTGGCAATAAAATGGTTGACCAATCTTTTTAATAAGATTCTCCAGACGAATAAGATGCCTGATGTATGGAGGAAAAGTATGATTGTGCCTATCTACAAAAACAAGGGAGATATACAGAATTGTTCAAACTATAGAGGCATTAAGCTAATGAGTCATACTATGAAGCTGTGGGAGAGGGTTATTGAACATCGCTTGAGGAGAGATACCAAGGTTTCTGTAAATCAATTTGGATTTATGCCAGGAAGATGTACCATGGAAGCCATTTTCTTGATGCGACAACTAATGGAAAGATACCGAGAAAAGAAGAAGGACTTGCATATGGTGTTCATAGACCTTGAGAAAGCATACGATAGGGTTCCAAGGAAAGTTTTATGGTGGGTCCTGGAGAAGAAAAAGGTTCCATTAAAGTATGTAAAGGCAATCAAGGATATGTATGATGGGGCTACTACATGTGTAAAAGCTTGTAACGGATCATCAAGTTATTTTCCTATCACGGTAGGTGTACACCAAGGGTCGGCTCTAAGTCCTTACCTATTTGCCTTAGTTATGGATGAACTAACAAAAGATATTCAAGAGGAAGTGCCATGGTGTATGCTTTTTGCAGACGATATTGTGCTTATTGATGAGAGCAAGGAGGGTGTTAATAGAAAACTTGAATTGTGGAGAAGCACATTGGAATCCAGAGGATTCACATTAAATCGAAGCAAGACTGAGTATCTGAAGTGTGAGTTTTCTCTGGTACAAGATGAGGACCAAGAACCTGTGCATCTAAATGGTCAAGAGGTACCCAAAAAAAATGCTTTTAAATACTTGGGCTCCATTTTACAAAATGGTGGAGAGATTGATGAGGATGTAAATCACAGAATCAGAGCAGGGTGGATGAAATGGCGTAGTGCATCTGCATTTTTGTGTGACCGCAAAATCCCCCTGAAGTTAAAAGGAAAATTCTATAAAACGGCAGTACGACCAGCAATGCTATATGGAGCGAAGTGCTGGCCAGCACATAGGCAACATGAGCATAAGATGGGAGTAGCAGAGATGAGGATGTTAAGGTGGATGTGTGGGTACACAAGGATGGATAAGATAAGAAATGAAGATATTCGACGAAAGGTCGGAGTAGTACCGGTAGCCGAGAAGATGAGAGAACATAGATTGAGGTGGTTTGGGCACGTGATGAGAAGACCCATGGATGCTCCTGTAAGAACAGAAGTTTGTTACCAAGAGCTAAACACAAAAAGAGGCAGAGGTAGGCCGAAGCTTACTTGGGGAAAAGTAGTAAAACAAGATTTAATGGAGTGGGATATAGATTGGCGGACAGTATGTCTTAGAAAGGAATGGAGAAAAGCTATAAGTAATGTGGAGGGTTAGACTCGCTGTTATTCCTATGTTCCAGATGGTCCTTTTTTAGTCCTTTTCCCCTTCCTTTCCCCCACTTCTTCTTGTCCCTTTCTTTTTTACTTTTATTTATTTATATATACATATATTTTTATTTTATTTTATTTTATTTTATTATTTTATTTGTGTATTTTTATTTATTTATTTATTTATTTTTTATTTTTTATTTTTTTTTACTTTTTTTCAACCGTTTTGTATCTTTCATGTGGGTTCATCTACCACCTACCCCAATTAATTTGGGATAAAGGTGTTGTTGATATTGATGTTGATGTTGGTTCTTTTGGGTTAATCAACATAGAGAGCCCTGATAGACGGACGCTATTTGATTCTACCAGTCAAGCAACCTGATTAACATTTCAAGTATAAAATAAAAGAATAATATTTCTCATATTATAGGAGATAAATTTTATCTTCTATACACACATAAAAATACGTGGGGTCAGCCATGTGAAGAGAATAAAGAGAAAAAAAAAATATGAATATCACATTTTTATGTGAGCCACACATTTTTATGTGTGTAGGAAATAAAATTATTATCTCCTATCACATGAGAAACATTAATCCCTAAAATAAAATATAAATAAACATTTCACAAGTTACACATCTCAAAACTCAAACATTAATCCCTAAAATAAAATATAAATAAACATTTCACAAGTTACACATCTCAAAACTCAGACCGATTTAAGTGGTCACATAAAATTTTGTTCCACAAATCCATCTAATAACCATGCATACTTTTTGATATTATCCCTTTTATTGGCTGCAATTAAAGACAAAATGTTGGATATGGACCATCACAAACTATCTACAAAGCCATGTTGCTTCCTTGCTTGAGAATGTAGAAGATCCATCTCAGTAAGGCGGTGGAGGGTACATTCCTGAATAAGGATCAGATTAGAAAGGTGAAAAGCACGATAACAAGAAAAAAGGTTGACAGAGAAACAGTACACAAGCAGCAGTTAGCACTACACATCAATTAGAAAAACAATAATTACCAGGAGGATAACCCGCAGGTGGTGGATATGGAGGTGGTGGATAAGCTGAAGTTGGCGGATATGAAGGGGGAGGAGGATATGATGATGGTGGATAGGGAGATGGTGGATAGGAAGATGAAGGTGGGTATGGTGATGGTGGATAAGCAGATGAATGTGAAGGGTAGGGAGATTGAGCAGGGTAGGGAGATTGAGCAGGTGGCGGGTAATCACGTACGGATCCTGTTGGAAGATAAGGAGCTGCATAGGGTGGTGGTCGGTAGGAAGAAGGTGCCAGAGGTGGCGCAGAATATAAAGGGACTGGTGGAGTTGCTGGTGGCACATAGGGAGGTGCTGACGGAGCATGGCTTGAGGCTAATTGCTGCAATGGTCCCAATACAATAATCATCAACTGTTCAATTCCAATTATATCAAAATAGTGACAGTAATCATCTAAATAAATAATGAAAATGCAGCTTACGTTGTGATTTGCAATTGCATAATGCATTATAAGTTTTACTTCACCTGCGTATCTGCCAAAGGAAAAGAGAGTTGCATTATAAGTATGAAAGTTAAGCGCATGAAAAGGGAGGGAATTTTCCATATCAACACTAGAGAAGCATCAAACAAGTAGTGTACATTGGAAGCAGACATGATTTTCTGTATATCGTTATTGGATTTCAATTTTCAACATTGGTCAAGTGTTATAACTAAAAATGAAAATTGAATGTTGTTTTGCAACAAGCAGTAGTTCAGTCTAAACTTTGAAGTTTAAAGAGATAGATATTATGAAAGACAAAGAGTGAAGCTTAACATTGTGTTCACCTGCCAGTTTTAGTTTGAAGTGGCCAAGCAGAGTCATCAAAACCTTGAGAAAGAACCTTGTGCAATTGAATCCTGACAAAGGAGAATAGCAAAGTAAAAAAATTAAAAAAATTAAAAAAAAAAAGCAGAAGAAGAACAAAAAAACGTAAAAGGGAGAAAGTGAAATACTTTCCGCTACCGATAAAATCATCGAAGGTGATTGTGTTGCTGTTCCAAACAATGACACTGATCTCCCGAAGGCCTTCAATTAGGGGAAAGATGAACTTCTCTTGAAAAATGGGATTTTTTCCGCCGTCTGAATTGAAAGGGGTAAAGGGTCAACGTTGATTACAAAAGAGTCAAACCAAATTGGAAAAAGAGGATGTAACAGAACCTGTGCAGGTTCTGGTTCGGAACTTAGTGCTGGCATATTCAAGACAAACGTAGGGATCTTGCCTTGAAATCCATTCAGTGTCTTTCAACTTGGAGCACGACACCACTGCATCCACCAATCCATTGTTATTTTCAGAAATCAAAACCAAAATCAAAATCAAAATCAAAATCAAAGGACAGGATGTTACTTTGCTTACCAGTAACCTCAAGAGTTTGGCCCTGAATGCCCAACATGGAGATGAAAACACAGATGGAGAGGAAGAAGCAACCACAATTGTCTTCTGATTGAAATTGAATCTGAGATTGACCTTAAAACAACACCAAATTGAAACGCCTATTTGAGTCTTATAAAGAGGACCAATCGCCTGTTCTCCTCTCTCTCTCTCTCTCTCTCTATATATATATATATATATATATATTTATATATATATATATATATATATAGGCAGGATATTCTTACACCGGTGTAAGAGTTAGAAGTTTTACACTCAATACCATTGATCCACGTGTATCTAATGACTCATATTACTAAAAAATTAGAGCCCTTAGATATAAATGGGATCAACGGACAAGATTGAAAGTGTAACTTACACTGGTGTAAAATGATCCTTACATATATATATATGGGCTTATCGTTTCTCAAGCTGCTTGAGATAATGTTATCTCCGGTTACTAAATCATAACCGTACAAAGATGGATCAACGGTGATAAAGGAAGAGAGAGAAAAAGGGAATCATAACCATTCAAAAGTAAATCAATTAATATAACGAAATAAATAAATAAAACGACGTAGTTTTGGGATGGCCGGAGATAAACTTATCTCAAGCAGCTTGAGAAATATTTTTCTATATATATATATATGGAGTTTACATTTCTGCAGCAATTAAATACTTGCTATATATATGTTTCAAAATACTAAATGTTAGGAATCATAACCATACAAAGGATGAAAATATTAAATGTGAAAAATCATAACCATACATCTATCATTGTTATACTTAAAACGGCCAGAGAAATGATTTTACCTATATATATATGAGGAAGGTTATATTTAAAAAAAAATTTATTTACAAACTCTTACAAATTACTACTGATCATACTTCAATCAAGAATATATAATTAGTCATACTTAATATAATTTGTAAAAAAAATTATAAACCAATTATTTATATAGAGAGAAGTGGCAATTTATAACAATGATAATAATTCTTTATTTTACGCGCATGTTTGATTTGTTTCTTCAAACGGAGACTAGAATACGCATTGTAATGAATCTATTGATCATATGACAAAAGATTCGCCTAGATTTGTTTTTTTAGAGGTCCTACAACTATTTTAACTTATTATATTAAAAAAAACATTTTAAATACTATACAACAGATTTAACATAAATCAGGTCAAGTTGGTTTCAAAGAATTTTGTGCATTCTCTTGAGCATTTCTGTATTTCTTTTTTGGGTTCACTTTTAGATAAGTTATCTGCAGTAAGTTCAATACGATGTCGTTTTGGGACGAAAATAATGGTATTTTGTAATTTTAATTTATTTCAGGATTATAATAGTCTTTATATTTATAATATTTTAAAATTTCAATGTCAAAACGACGTTATTTTGGCAGTAAATGTAGATAACTTATCTGCATTAACTGCAGACACATTTTTTTCTTCTTTTTTACATTATTGAGTCCTTTTTCTATAAAAAATATTGACTATTGTTCTTTCGATTATTATAAGACAGAATATTCGCCTACGGGTCCGACAACTATTTTAACTTATTATATTTTAAAAAAAATATATCCTTTTTTTTTCATATTGTAATGTGGTCACACAACTGTCAAACAAATCGGAAGACGAAATATTGAGCTTGTTCATTTATTCGGTGTATATGAACTCATTATATTTGACTCTGTTAGTGTTAGTTTATATACTAATATTTTCTTCTTCTTCTTTATATTTTTTCTCTTAATTTTGTAGCGAACAGTTTTTAACCTGAGTCTGCAAAGTCAAAGCCCATACGAATTTGAACGTTTGGTACAGGAGAAATTTTTTTTTACTCGAGAATCTCGATTTTTAAAAATATAATTTTTACATTCAGTTTACGATAATATCTAAAAATTTAAAATTTAGAAAAATTCAATTTATCAGTAATCCGAGAAAATACTTCGTACCAAACGGCTCCTTGCCTAAAAGATTCGTTCAATTAGTGATCACTGATTCAATGTATGACCCTATAAATATATAAATTTATTATTTATATTAAAAAATTATAAATATATTTAAATACATGTAAAAATTAATATCAATTTTAAATATTTAAACTTTAGTAATAATAGGGATGTTCATCAACCGATCCAAACCGATTCAAACCGCGATAACCGAACCGAATAACCGAAAACTGAAAAATCGAAAACTGAAAAAAAATCACAAAATTTAATTGGATTGGATCAGTTTTTGGATGGGTCGGTGAAAACTGATCCAATTATTCTCAATCTTACCATCTACTTACTTGGACTTTTTCTCAATCATATCCCACAAACCATGTAGTAAAATTCTAAATTGAAGACCCATTAATCTCTCATGTTGGAGAAAATGGGTTGTGCTTGATTTATGTTTTTTTTTGTAAGATACATAATATATTTTTATTACATAGGTTATTATTGTACAGCAGCTCCTCTATAGGATGAAAATTTGGGTTACTTCATATCTCAGACAAACATATTATAAATTTTTTTGTTGAAAGTAAAAGATGATAATTTAATTTTTTGTTGTACAATGCTTTAGATTGCAAAATAATCATCATACAAACTTTACAAAGTCGATAGATATAAAATATATGTTATTTGCCAAATAATCATCATATAAATCTTAGGCTTTTCAAAAAACCGAAAACCGATTCAATCCAAACCGAATAAAATTGGATTGGATCGGATCGGATTTGAAAAAAAAAAAATCAAACCAAATGGATGATTACATGATTAAACTGAAGGAATTGGATCAGATGATTTTTACTTCCAAAACCAATCAAATGCAGACCGCGAATGCCCCTAATTAACAATACATATCATGCTTCGCATTGTAATAAAAAAAATATCATGTTTCAAATGCAATGACTTAGCAAACTACCATTCAAGACAATAATAAATACAATCTGTACATACCACTTCCCAAGAAGCCCATTATATTCCCATTGCACACGCTTCCTATTGCAAGAGAAAAAAAATCATATTTCAAATGCAATGGCTTAGCAAACTACCCATTCAAAACAATAATAAATGTAATATGTACATACCACTTCCCAAGAAACCCATTGTATTCTCATTTCACACGCTACGTTCTTTTCACAATTTTGCCACTGTTTATCTACTCCTTTTTTTTTGGTAAGCACTCTTCTTTTTCTTTACCATTGTTGCCATGGCCTCAAGGATCACTATCGTTCGCTTCGTTGCTGCAACGCTCGCCTCCGTCGCCTCTACACCGACCAGGATCTCTAGCAAGACATCTATACGCCATGTGCCTTTTCCTGGTGGACCCCATTGTCGGCCAAGTCATCTCCACCATCCCTGGCAATGCTTTCCCATCTTTTCTTTTTCTGTTATATATTTTTGACCCGTCGAGTCACTGGTTTTAGTAAAATCGGCCAGTTCACTCCGGGTCACACCGGTTTGTTTGCATGTCTGATCCATCACTCTACCCGGACCAGTCACCTGACCGGTTTACCGATTTCCGGTTCGAATCGGCCAGTCCGATTCGATTCTTATAACACTGAAGCACACAACAATTTTTAACATAGAAAACTTTCAAATGCTAAAAGTTAAAACTTACAGGATCTAATAATGAAAATCTTCCACTCTAAGAATAATTGGATTACAAGAATTCTTTCCATATACAACTAGTGGATTCCACATGTAAGAACCCGCACCGTTAATTAAGGAAATTAATTAATTAATTATGTTAAATTAGGAAATGATTCCATAATTGACCCTAATAATTATTAAGAGGCTTTAATAATTATGATAAGTGATTAAGAATGCTGAAAGTCACTTTTCGGAAGAAAAGTGCAGATACCGGTTCTGCTAGTCGGTATAAATGCGTACCGAAAAAGTATCTCAGAAAATTATAATAAGTGCATGATAATTCCTAGAATAATTTATAGGACTTGTAAAACGAGTTTCAAAATAATGAGAACTGGTGCCAGAAACTGATACTGGCTATGAAAAGCGCGTACCGGAAAGGTGCTCCGAAAAATATAATAAAAATATGACAATTCTTTTAAAATTGAGTAGGTTAAGAATCTAAAGTTTGGGATTAAAATACTAAGCGTAGAAATTAAAGTTAATACTGTGTGTTTTATTTTAAAGTGACTATATATACCCTTATGATTGGCACACAACCCTAGAATAAGATTCTCCTACGTGAAAGGAGGCTGACCATTTACACTCTTGCACTGTTCCATTGCTCTTCTCCCTTGTTCAGCACCAAAACTCAACCTTGAGACCTTTCTTGACTTCTTCTTCACACTAAACACTTGGGTGTGTGTGAAAGTCGTCTTTGGGGTTTAGTGGGGGGTCATTGTTCTGAGTTTGGCCATTGTTTTGGGTGTGTTTGAGGGCTGTGTTTTGAGTTGGGGGTGAAGGGGTTCATATTCTTGGTGTTTGATGCTCTAAGAAGCTATCTTAATGTAGTAAAAGACCAACCTTGGTGCCATTTTCGTATTACCTTGAAGTCAGAACTGTGAGGATCTTTTGGTGAGCTCCAAGAGCACTCTTTCCTCCTTTTTAAGCTTTAGGGTGAGTTACCTTATCATGATCTTGAGTTTTTATGGCTTAAAGGTGGTGTCTTTGCATGTAAATGGGTTAAACAAGTAACTAACATGTGTATAAACCTGTATAGACCTAAAAATGGAGTCTTGAACGCATTTAATGGGTAAAAGTTGGACCTTTGGAGGATATCTTCACGAAATGCAGAAATTGCATTCTGTCGTGAAATATCCGGATATTGGATATCCGGATATAAGGATCTGGATATCCGGATATTGGATATCTGGATATGGCCCCGAGGAATATCTAGATATTCTGGGATTTCGTAGAATAGTAGTTGTGTTGTGTGTACAGTAGGCTATTGGGGGTTTGTGGACCCTAGATTGATGAAGTTGAACTTCTGTAATTAATGAACTAAGTCAGAATCATGTGATTAAGTGCTTGTGGCTTTGTTAGAAGCCTTAAGACGTAAAACGTAAAGGAAAGACGTTGTCTTTAAGTGTATGCTTGTAGAGTTTGATTAATGATGTATTATTGGTCCATAACAGATTGTGATACTGTTGTGTTTGGGCTTTGAGATTGTGGACTCTTGGCTGGGATAGC